TTGTGGGCGGGGAGTGGGGTGGAGGGCACAGAGAGCCCTGGGGTAGCTCGGCAGCACCCCCCTCAGCGCAGACCGACGCCCGGCGAGTGGCCAGCCCCGGCCTTCGGCTGCCCCTCACGGAGCCCACACTGCGCTCCTGACCGGGGTCACCCACCTCTTTCGGGGATGGGGCAGATAGGGACCCCCACAGCATTTGCCTAAACACATACGTAAGTTCTAGAAGAAGCTAAAAAACCCATTAAAATAACATCAAAACGAACTTGCCAGTCGGGCGTGACCCTCGGGTCCCAGCTCCTCGCCGCTTGTGCTGGAGGGACAGCCTGTCCTGAGCCTGACCCGCCCTGCCCTGCAGGGTCCCCACACGCAGGCGGGCGGCCCAGCCCCGCCTCCCACCCCCACCCAACCCCCTTTGCCACCCCGGAGCCTGGGGATGGGCACCCAGCAGCTCAGCCCGCTGCCCCAGACGGCGGGGGAGAGGCTCCGGGCGGGCGCAGGCGGGGGCCGGGCCAGGGCTCTCGGAGTGTTCCGGACCAAGGTGGCTCTGCTCTGCGGGGGAGGGGAGGTGGGAGGCGTGTCCAGGGTTCAAGGGTCCCCCGGAGGCCCAGGGGGCGCAGAGGCCAGGGGAGGCGAGTCGTGCCGAGTGGGCGCCCTGGGCTGGCAGAACTCTGGAGCCGCGTCCAGAACGGTGCTGTGCTCACTGGGGAGGGCGCTGCAGCCCCCAGAGGAGGCCCGTGGCGCTGGAGGGACACCAGGAGGTGTGAGCTGTCACCCCTCAGGTTCTGGAACCCGAGCCATACCCCAAAACAGCCACGGGGGGTGGCCCACTTGTGCCCTTTCTTGTGCTCCCCAGGGCACCCTTGTCACCCACGGTCCCAGAGCCTGGGTGGCAGTGGCCGAGTGCCACTGGGATGCCAGGGCCCCTCGGACTCCGTCCCCCCGCACCGCCCTGCCCCGCTGGCTGGCCCCGCAGACCAGCAGCTCCAGCGACCCTGCGAGTTTGCTGGGAGAGGCAGTCTCGGGTCCGCCCAGGCCCCCGGATCACAGTCAGCGGTCAGTCTCCAGGGCCCCAGGCAGCCTGCGCACACAGTGAAGGTTGAGTCCTGGGCCCAAAGCCAGCTTTCAGCCCGCAGTGCCTCAGTTTCCCCATTAAGTGGATTCGGGACCTCCCTGCCCGCCCTGGCCCAGAGGAGGTGGCTTCGCCTACTTGGAAGAGCTCTGGGTGGGCCGCGTCCCCCAGAAGCGCCCAGGGCACAGCTGTGTCCCCCGGGCCCCCGGGACGGGCTGCCACCCCTGGGCCACCGTCCCTGTGTCTCCTTCTTGCTCCCCAGACCAGCCCGGGGCCTCGTGACTACTGAAGGGACCCGGAGGCCAAGGCTCAGGGCAGAGGGACGGCCCGTGAGGGGCACTGGCGCCCTGCCGAGTGCGCCCGAGGGCGGGGCGAGGGGAAGTGGGTAGGCGCCTGGTCAGGCCGGCCCTGCTGCCCCGCTCTCGTCTCCAGCTAAATTACCGGGTCGGAGCCGGCCGGCGTATAAAGGCCCCCGCACGGCTGCGCCCAGTCTCGCGGCGGACACCCCACGATGAGGCCACTCCCGGTGTTTCTGCTCCTGGCCGCTCTGTGCGTGGACCTGGGTAAGGGCCGCCGACCCGGGGGGCAGGGGCAGCGGCACACAGATGCCCGGCGGGGCTGGCCTCGGGCCGTGGGGTCTGCGGTTTTGCACTGCGGGGAGTGAGGGGCAGGCCGCACAGCTGCTCCCTGAGCGACCACACCTGGGGCCTCCGCGCCCCTTTGGGCCCCTTTTCCGGGGCACCTGGCTCTGGACTGTCGGGTGGGAGGCCTGGTGACAGGCAGGGCCACAGAGCCGGGGGCAGGGCACGGGACCCAGGCTTCAGCAGCGGCCCCGGTGGCCCTGTTTTCTGGGACAAAGGGAGCTCTGGCGGGTGAGGGTCTTGGTGCTGCAGCCGGGGAGGCGGCTTGGTGGCCCCCACCCGCCGGCCTGGCCGTGAGGCCTGGAGCAGGGCACCCGCAGCAGGGGGTTGGGGGGGAGGCCCCGGAAGTGGGGCCTGTGATTAGCAGCCGAGTAATTACCATCCAGGGTTAATGACCCCCATCGGCCCCCCCCGAGAGCGGGCTGCAGGGGGTGAGTCTCCCGCTGTCTGGGGAAGCGCCGGGGGTGGGGGTGGGGGGTGGAGGGGGGGCCCGACGTGGAGGCTTGGGGAAGCTGGGAAGGAGGTGGCTGCCTGCCTGGGAGGCCGATGCTGGGACAGCGGCTGCTGGGAGGGTCACAGCTCCGGGGAACGACAGGCCCCAACTCTCAGCACAGCCCAAACCCCTGTGGGGGAAACTGAGGCACAGTCAGGTTCTCTCTCTCTCTCTCTCTTTTTAAGAAAGAGAGAGAGAAACATGGATCAGTTGCCTTGTGCACACCCCCAACTGGGGCCCTGGCCAGAAACCCAGGCATGTGCCCTGACGGGGAATCGAACCAGCGACATTCGGGTGCACGGGCTGGTGCTGAACCCACTGAGCCACGCCAGCCAGGGCCAGGTTCTTGTTCAGAGGAACCCAGCAGTGTCTCCCTGCCCCCGTGAGCACAGATCCTGGGTCACCTCGGACAGCGAGCCTCCTCTCGGGGGTTCTAGGCCCCGGACCTGGGCCGCGGCCTCTGAGCTGGGGGTGGGGCTGAGCTGGACTACCTGCTTGCCCGTGGTGCAGCCACAGGTGTCCCCACTCTGCACGCTGCAGGGAGAACGGCTCTGGCACCGCCCGGCCCACCCGGGGAAGGTGCTGTCCCCTTATTCCATGGGTGCTGGCTCCCAGGTCAGCCAGCGCGGGCATGCCTGGTCCTATAGGGCAGCCCCGCCGGGCGCCCCCTCCAGAGACCCTCTCGGGACACCCAGCCCCCCGGAGACCTGGAACAGAGGGCTCGTCCCTGCGTCGCCGGCCCCACGCTGGGCAGGGTGCCCCGGCTCCCTCACCCCTCCATCGGCCCTGTCACAGCCGGGACACCCACAGCCGGGTCCCAGCGCGCCTGGCCCCCGCCGCGCTGCACCTCCTGCCCGCGGGTCCTCTCCCCGGACCGGAAGTAGAGCCCCTTCCATCGGCCCTGGTCCCGCTCCGGGCCACCCACTGCAGGAGGCCTTCTCCGGCGCCCTGCCCTCTGTCAAGACCATGCTGCCTCCCAGGCAGGTGTCCCACGGTGTCACCACGCCCTCCCCCCCACCCTCCTCGGGGCACGTGCTGTGCCTGGGGCGGCCACCCCCTCGCGGCCCGTGGGGGCTCCAGCCCGGGAGACGTGTCCTGGACTCCCTGTCTCTGGGACTGGGGGCTGCTCAGGACCAGGCTCTTCTGTTGCAGGTCCCCCCCGCCCCCCGATATCCCCTCAGCCCTGGGGACAGGCCCAGGGCAGTGAGGGGCAGGGATGTTCCTCTTGTGACCCTCCTGTGCTCTTAGCCCTTCCCTGGGCCAGGCAGTGGGGGGGGGGGGGTTGCGGAGCAGGGGCTGGTCCCATTGCGTCAGTTCATCCCGGGCAAGCGGGACCCCGCAGGCTGCAGCCGGGCCCGTCTTATGGGGGACGACACTGAGGCTCGGAGAGGGACAGGGACAGTGAAGGGGACCCTGCCGCCCTCTGGAACCCACCCTGCATCCCGGTGGCCTACAGACACCCACCCACCACCGAAACGCTCACCCCTGTACTCACACACACACACATGGGGCCAGCCACCGCCACCAAGGTCCCAGGGGACCAGGGCCCCCTCTGGAGGGCGGGAGAAGGCTCCAGAGGCCGGCTGGGCGGCCCCATGCGGAGCCCAGCCCCAGGCCAGGCCCCGGCCGAGCCCGCACTGACGGGCCTGTGCTTCCCCCCCGCCCCCAGCCCGGGCCCTGCGGTGCCACGTGTGCTGCGGCCACGCCAACTGCGAGTCTCTGGCGGAGTGCGCGCCGACGGACAAGTACTGTGTGATCACGCGGGCCAGTGAGTACCCCTGCCCGCCCGGCGCCCCGCCCCGGGCCGCCCTCCAGGGGGCGCCCACGGCCGCGGCCCCTTGCACAGCCCTGTGCCGCCCTCCAGGGGGCGCCCACGGCTGCGGCCCCTTGCACAGCCCCGTGCTGATGTGAGGGCCAGGGCTCTGCGGGCACCCCGGGGCCTGAGGGCGGGCCCTGTGGCGGGAATCGGGGGGAGCCTGTGCCCAGGAGGGCCTGAGGGTGACTGACACACAGGCAGGTCCGAGTGCGGGAGGGGCCGTGTGGAGGCCTGAGCCCAGCAGGAGGTGACGCTGGGGACAGATGTCGCTGTCCAGTGTCCTGCCCGGAGCCGCCCCAGCCTCAGGAAGGAGGCACCGTCCGGGGAAGTGCTTTCTGAGGGGGTGGGGACGCCCCCTGCCCTCTCCTGTGCCCCGCCCCCGCGTCGGCCTTTGCTCCTGGCCCCTCCGCTGGGCCCCGGCCTCCAATCTGTCAGGAGGCAGCCGGTGGCGTTGTCCGCCCCTCCGCTCTGTGGTTGGGTGCTGCACCTCCGTGCTGAGCACCACTGGGCACCCCTGTGTGCCCCACGGCTCTCGGGCGGCCCAAACCGCCGCAGAGGTTGGCTCTCTCGCCATCCGCGTTCTCCCAGCCTGGGGTGAAGGCACCACGGCATCCGGCCGCCACCCACCCTGGCTTCCTGGCCAGCTGCCCACGGGAGGCAGTCGCCTGAGCCCCGGCTGCAGCCCCGCCCCTTCCCCTTCTCCACCATTCTCCACAATCTCCGGGCACCGCCCGCCCCCCCACCCCCCGAGGCGCGTCATCCCCCAGACCCCTCCTAGCTGTCCCCCTGCGCAGCCGCGGGGCTGGGACAGAGGAAGGCGGTGGCTGAGGCCTGGACTCACGCCTGCCCCACGGGCCCTGCTTCCCGAGACGGCAGCCCCACGCCCGCCCCGCGTCTGGTTCCCTCCCGGACCGGAAGAGCTGTGTGTGGCTGCCGCGTCCTCGTGGGCCCCGCCCACCGTGTCCCGATTTCCAGCCCCAGGAAGGGACAGGGCAGAGCCAGGACCCTGACCCCAGAGCACAGAGGCCCTGTCCGACACCGGCCCGAGGGAAAGGGGCGCAGACACTGGCCGTGGGAGCCCCTAAGCCCCCGCCTGGCCGAGATGTCACGGAGGAGCTCGGTCCGAGGGGGGACAGGCCCCCGGCCCAGGGGTACTGGGGAGGACCGCGCTCACACGCACAGTGGGGGCCTCGGGGGGGGGACTCCCGGCCAAGCTCCCAGGAGCCCCAGGAGCAGGGTGCGTCTGTGGCGCCGAGGGGCTCCTGGGTCGGCCGGGCGAGGGGCAGGCACGGGGCCTGACCCCCACCCACGGGCCGCGCCCTGTCTCCACAGCCAACCCCGGCGGCATCCTGGTGATGAAGTCCTGCGCGCCGACCTGCCCCAACAGCACCGTGTCCTCGGACGGCCGCGCCCTCTCTGTCTCCTGCTGCCAGCACAGCCAGTGCAACCGCAGCGCGGCCCCGGGCCTGGTGGGTGGCCGGGGGGCCCTGTGGGCCTGCACCTTGGCCAGCCTGCTGTGGGCGCTGCTCCGGGCCGCCTGCTGAGCCCAGCCCCCAGGCCGGCCCCGGGGGGGGGGGGCGTGTCCCCTCCCAGCCTGGACTCAGCCGGCCCAGCTCCCAGCACGCCCCGGTGGGGAGATCCCCCTGTGGCCTGTCCCTCACCCCTGCTTCCCCAGGCTCCCGCCCCAGGGAGGGACATGCCCCCTGCCCCAGGGGACCCACCAGGGTGGGAAGCCCAGGCCTGCACCTGCGGGGGTCCCTCTGGGGGGTGGGCAGAGCACCTCTGTTCTCCTCAGCATCCCCCACCCCGACACAGGGCTGCTGCCCCGAAGAGGGCCCCGTGCTTGCTGACCACCAGGCCCTCCCGCTCTTCCTGCAGGAGGGCCTGCGGAGGGGCAGGCGGGTCTGAGGTTTGGGGGCTGGGTCTCTGGGGCTTTCTTCCCGCTCCTGTGCTCACTCATCCATCCACGTCGGCCCCCCATCCCGGCCGGTGCGTCCACTCTTGACAGGCCCACTGGGGTCTCCTGGGAGCCAGGCACCCCAGGACGGCCCTCTGGGGGCCCCCATCCTGGGCTCTATCTCGGGGACTCCCAGTTTCTGCTGCCCGGCCCCACAGTCCCGCCGGCCCGGCTGCGTGGAAGCAGGGCTCTGCCAGGGTCCCCGGGGCCGCCCGCTGCGGGTCTGGGCCAGGGCGCCGAGGGGACCGGGGTCGGGCTCGGGGTCCCTCCTCCCTGGGCTCGGGGGCTGCCCTCTGCCCCAGAGGCACCGGGGTCTCGTCGGAGGAGAATAAAGCTGCCATCCCCGCTCTGTCCTGCTTCTTGGTGGCGCTGAGTGTCTTTGGTCTTGGGGGCAGCGCCCTCCACCTCCAAGGCCGGCGGGGGTGCCTGACGGAGGGGTGGGTGGCATTCTCCACGCGCAGGCTCGAGGCTGGGGGAGGAGGCCCACTCTCCTCATCATCTAAGAAGCCAACCCCGTGGCCGCGGGGCGGCAACAGGCGTGCGACGAATCCCAGGTTGGGGGCTCACGTGCGTTCTCGCGGCGGGGGGGGGCTTTGAGCCGCGGTGGCCCCCAGCATAGGGGTCGGTCCCCGCCGCCCCGCAGCCCTGGTCGCACCTCTGCCCAGGGCCCTTCCCTAGGAGCCCACCCAGGTCCTGGCACCTACGGCCCCCTCGGGTGGCCCTGCTGCCAGCCCGAGGGGCCCTGTTCGGGCCCGCCTGCACCCTCCAGCAGGCCCGGGCCCTCTCCCTGCCCGCTTCTGTGTCCTGCACAACCTTCCCTGGGGGACAGGCTCCCAGGCCGGGTGCCCAAGGCCCAGCCTGCCCACTGCCCTGCCCCCCACCCCCGCCCCTCCCAAAGCCCAGTCTTGGGGCGGCGTCCGGGCTGTCCCTGAGCACCCCCTCCGAGGGGCGGGGGCCCTTCCCGCCCCAGCGGCCAGCTCTCTGGCCTTGCAGGGCCACTGCCCCCAGCTCCTGCTCCCCTGTGCCTGTGGCAGAGCTGTGGCGACCCTTCTGTTGGGGGGCGCCGGGCTCCCGAGGCCACAGGGGGCAGAGGGCCCAGGCCAGTCGGAGGGCCCGGCTTCTGGTGGGTTCTGCCCACCGCGCAGGCGCCTTGGGCTTTCTGGGGACACGAAGGGCTGGGGGGGCCCGCCTCGAAACTGGACGTCGGGACTCCCTCAGGGCCCCCCAGCGCCCCGGGGCGGTCCCCTGCGCGGCCAGGCTGTGGGATCCCGGGACCCGGGGAGAGGCTGGCATCGGGTCTGGGCGGGGCCTCTCTGCCCCGCCTTGTGGTGGGAACCTGGTCTCCGGACTCCCTCGCTCCGGGGCAGGCCCCACCCCTGCAAGTCTCAACGGGAACCCGCCCTGGCCGCCCCACCACAGCCGGGGACGGCCTCCGCCCGCCCGGCGGCGGTGTTCTCGAGTCGGGAGTCGGGGCGGGGCTCCGAGGCTGTTTCCACGGGAAGACGGCGGCGGCTCCCCTCTCTGCCGAGGCTGGGGACGGGGCCGAGCCCAAAGCCTGCTGGGCCTGCTGGGGCGCGCAGGGGCGTCGGCGACCGAGTCCGAGCTCCCTCCACTCCCTCCCACCCCCAAGTCCATGGGCACTCAGGGGGCGCCCATCGCATGCCAGGCTCCCGTGGGTGCTCACAGGGACGCCACGGGGACAGAACGGACAGGGGCCACGGCCAGCAAGCCTCGTGGGCTCGAGCTCCCGCGGGGCTGTGGGGGAGGGCGCGGAGGGCCCGGCCGCTGGGCAGCGGAGGGCGGGGCTGCTGCCTGACGGCGGAGGAGGCGGAGGAGGCCCGGAGGTTGTCCCAGCGGCCCGAGGCAGGGCGAGGGGAGCCCCCGGAGCAGCAGCCGCAGCAGGACAGGGAGTCCAGCTTCGGCCCCGAGAGCCCCTGGCACCGTGCTGCTGTGGGCAGATCTGGGGGCGCGTGGTGTGGCTCACACCGTGGACTCAGGCCGCGACCTGGCACTCGCGAACCGCCTGACGGAGGCCTGGGCAGACGGAGCTCGGGGAGCTGGGGCTGGGAGGCAACCTGCGGGGGGCGGGGCGAGGCGGGGGAGGCGGGGGAGGGCTGTGGGCGTGACAGCCAGCGGGAGGCCTTCCCCACTGCTGCCCCCCCCCCCCGGGCTTCACGGGACCAGGGCGGGCCTTCGGGGTTAGGGCTGGGGCCCCACGGGTCACCGTCCCTCCACCCAGCGTCCCCTGCTGCCCACAGCTCCGCCCCTGTTGCAGCTTACATAACCCCCCCACCGCCCCCGCCCGGCTCAGATGACGGGAACGCGCACTCCCCTGAGCCCTGGGATTGTGGTGACAAGCTCCCTGGCAGGCCCAGCGTGCGGCCCACCGCCCTGCCCTGGGGGCCCGTCCCACGCCCAGAGCAAGCCGCGACAGCGCGCAAAGCCCCGGACCGGGAATGGCTGCCAAAGCCGGGCCGCTGGCTCCACCAGGCCGAGCCGAGGGTGGCTGAGCACGGCCGTCCCGGGCTCGAGGCTCTGCAGCGGCCTGGGCGCCGGAGGCGCTGGGTCGGAGCCTGCTCAGGTCCCGGGCCACTCGGGGGCCGTGTTTGCAGGGGCGGCCCTGCGGGCTCCCTCCTCCTGCCCCTGGGCCGGCCTTAGGGCCGACCCGCGCCCGCCAAACCCAGGGTTCCGGCGGAGGCTGCCCCCGCCTGGAGTCGGCCGCACACCGGCTTCAGGGCGCGGCAGTCCCGCCCCAGCACGCCACCCGCTGTTTCCGGAAACCGCTCAAAAAATCCCACGTCGCCCTGGCGCTGTTTTGGTGGGCTTGAAAGGGTGACAGCGCCCAGCAAGGGGCTGTGTCGGGTTCCCAAGGGACAGAGGGCAAAGGGACGGCTGTCAGGTTTTCCAGAACAGGAACTCACACTCTCTGCGTAAGAAGTACTGCAGCCAAGACGGCTGGACAGACCGACAGGGCACTTACAAGTGAGGGCTGTCCAGAAGGAGTCCAGCCAGATAAAAGGAAAAGTAGAGACATTTATGGAAAGAGGATATGAGATGCAAGAAGCACTGGACACAGGACAATGACGCCTCGGTCCCCTGCAGAGCAGGCACCTGGGACCTCACACACTTCTCCCAGTCGCCCTCAGCTGCCCCGTCGTAGTTTCCTGAACCTCATTGATGGTGTGGAATCTCTTCCCTTTCAAAGGTGATTTGAGTTTTGGGAAAAGCCAGGAGTCCCAGGGCGCCAAATCTGGGCTGTAGGGGGGCTGAGTCACCTGGGTGATTTGATGTTTCGCCAAAAACCTCTGCACGAGACGCCATGCATGAGCGGGCATGTGGTCGTGAGGAAGCTGCCAGTCACCCGTTCACAGCTGCGGCCTCTGAATCATCCAAATAACTTTTGTGGAGGAACGTGCAAGCTTAACACAAACTTGGATGCGGATTCTCTGCTCTCCTCGCTCAGTTGTTTTGGATGTGACGACCACACAGTACACATGCCCACTCCATGGTGTCTACCACCCCACTGACCGGCACAGTGAGGTCGTCACTGTTCACACACGTGCGTTCCAGCCCACTGTCCTCGGCTGCCAGGTGACCCCGGTGTCGTGCAGACCCTTCTCCTGTGTTAACAATGGCTGCACTCCCTCCAGACAGACCTCACGTGTGAGATGCTTACTTCCCCCTGAAGGGTCAGGGTGAGCGATGTCCTCCAGAGTCCCCCAACCCCCTCCCCCCCCAGTTATCACGGAGCCTTAAGAGACTGCGTGCCGGCTGCCCCGGCGCTGCCACCTGCAGAGTCCCCACTGGGCTCCGCTGAGACGACGGTGCTCTCTCGTCCGGGGCAGGCGTGCCGACGAGGAAGAGAAGAGGGCGGAGGAGGTGGGGACCTCGCCGCCGCTGACTCCTAGAGGGCGCACGGGCGGTGTGAGTGGGCGCACAGGTGGGCGAGCGGGTGGCTGGAGGGAGGAGGAAAGATGTGTGGGTGGATGGGTGGGTGGGTGGGTGAGTAGATGGGTGGGTGATAACTGGGTGGGTGACGGGTAGATGGGTGAGCAGGTGTTGGAGCAAACCAGGCGGGGGAGTGAGGAAGGAAGGAGAGGAGGGCGGCGCTCACTGCCCTGAACCCACATCCGCAGCGCCGTGGAGCTCCGGGGTTTGCAGCCGCAAGCTGCCGGCTACGCAGGAGGCGCGGTGGGGCGGGGCAGGGCGGAGGGGAGGGGGCGGAGCATGCGCACGCCCACTCTGTCCTTTCCTGGAGCGAGAGAGCGCGTGTCCTGGCGCAGGAAGAACGAGCCCGCCCTCCAGTCGCCCGGTGGTCAGGGGTCTGGGTTCTGGGGTCCGAGGGTCGCCCGTGCTGCAGCCTGCACCGCCGGGGACTTGCAGCCCAGCGGCCTGGGGGCTCTGCGCCCCAGCCCTTCTGTGGGCTGTTCCCCCCGCTTTGTAGGACGCAGCTCACACCCTGAGGGTCTTTTCCTCATCCCCCAGCCCTGAGTCCCACGGCCTCTCAGGGACGCAGCCAGGGGAGAGGCCCACCCGGGCTCTGGGGAGGCTGTTGCAGTGCTGGTCCCGGGCGCCAGTGCGGACAGGGGTCCGGGGGCCCAGCTCAGGGCGTCTCCTGCCGGGCCCGGGGACTGGCGTGTCTCTCTTGGCCCTCGAGAACCTAAGGCTCCCGTCCAGCCAAGCCCGGGAACACGCAGCACCTTGGGCAGGGGAGGGCTGCATGGGCTGCCCTGTGCTGCGCAGTCTGGCTGGCAGGAGGGAAGGAGAGGCCCGGCCTGGCTGAGGGGCCCGCTCAGGGGCAGCCCCAGCCTTGAACCCCAGCCCTGGCCCAGCCCAAGGACCTAACGGCACCCAGAAGCCCCCAAGAGTAGGGCAGGGTGTGTCTAGGGAAGGGCTGCTGGCGGCCAGGGTCGCAGGGACAGTGGTGGGACAGTGGCGGGCCCTGGGAGCGGGCGAGAGGGACTGTGTGGGCCCACGGGCCTGTGTGTGAAGGTGCCCCTCGGGCCAGGACGGGGCAGGGGAGCCCTGGGCGGGAAGAGCCTCGGCTGTGCTCCCACTCACTGGCTGGGGGGCCCTGGGCAAGGCCCTGCCCTCTGTGTGCCGTCCAGGGCCCCGTCTGTGTGCAGAGGCCTGTGGCTGAAAGGGACAGAGCAGGACAGCGGGAGAACCCGGTGCCACAAGGCTCACCGGCCGCCCCCGGCCCTGCTGGGGGGTGGGGTGCGCTCGGGGAAAGGAGTGCCCCCCCCCCCCGGCCCCTGCCGCATCATTCCTGCTGCCAGCAGTCTGTGGTGCAGCCTGGCCTGGGGACGGGGTGGGCGCCCGGGCTGGAGGAGAGGGCTTGGGGTCTGGAAAGTGGTAACTCTCTCTGGAGGAGTGGGGGAGGGGCAGTGGCAACAGAGAAGTGCTGGGTTCCGCCCCACTCCCCAGGGACCTGGCACCAGCTCGGCCTCCTCCGGCCCTTGGTCCCTGACCAGTGAAAAGGTGTCGGAAGTGGGTCGTGCAGACCGCTCCTCTGTTCCCTGAACCCCCTAAATCCTGCCTCCAGGACTGCGGTCAGGTCACCGCCTGCAGGAAGCCCTCCTGGCTGCACTCCAGATCTCTGAGAGTGCCTGCCGAGGCCGGACTCGCCCGGTTTATCTCATAAGGAACCTGTGTCTGGGGCTGTCGTTGACTTTCCTGCTTGGAAGCCCCCAGGGTGGGCCGCCGCACCCCCGGGGCCGCTCTGCCGGGGACAGAGAGACACCTCCTCCCTCGCAGCTGGGACCCAGCCGCCGCCTCTGCCCCGCCGCCTCCCACCCAGACCTCTGCTCCCGCCCCGCAGCCCTGAGCCCTGCGGCTCCACCGTCCCCCAAACCTGTTACTCCAGCAGCTTCCCTGCCCCTTGGCCCCAGTGAGTCACCCTCCCCCGACCTGCACCCCCTGCCCGGGCCAGTCAGCACCCCGTCACTGAGCCCTGAGCCCCGCTTCCTCGACTCAGGCGCGCCCCCGCCCCGCCCAGCCTCTGCGTGGCTGTGCCTGGGGGACTCGGGAGGCCTCGGAACGTGGGGTGACTTTCTCTGTCTGGGTGAGGACATGGGGACCCCTGTGATAGCTGCCTCATTAAGCGAGACCCCCGCCGACTTAAACAAGCCTCCAGGGGTCCGGGGCCAGCAGCGCCGGCGGCCTTCCCGAGCTCCTGCCTGCACCCCTCCATCCAGCTCCCCGCAGGGTCCCGAAGGCACCCCCACGCCACCCTGCACCTTTGCAGGGCTGCCTCTGGGACCCCCTTCTGGGAGGACAGCATGAAGCATTCCGGTGGCGCCCTCTGCGCCCCAGGGCCCCGACGGTCCCCCAGGGCCCCGACGGTCCTTGCTGGCACGCACCAGGCCTCCGCCTGGCCCTGCTGGGCGCAGCAGAGCAGTGCTGTGATCCGGGCCGAGAGGCAGGAAGGAAACCCAAGGGAGGGAGGGAGGGAGGGAGGGAGAGGGGCCGGGGGGCGGCTTGTGCTCAGAGGCCGGGCCTCCTGTTCTGTCTTGCAGTTTCAGAGGGCTGGCTCAGAGCCAGGATTCCCCCCCCACCCGTACCCCACACACACACCAGGTCTCCGGTGCCAGCCCGGAGGGGCTGCTGTCTCGTGGGGACCCGAGCAGAGGCCAGAGAGCGATGGCCCCGAGGCTGGCAAAGGCAGCCGCTCGTGAAAGCCCCACAGTGAGGGGTCAACCCTGTGCCCCCATCCTGCTGCCTTCATCCCCCAGACTCCCGCCCGCACCAGTGCCAGACCTGCCGGCTCACCTCTCTGCGGGCACACCCAGCAGCCACACCTTGCCCACCGGCCCTCACCACCCCGAGCTCTGGCACCCCAGCAGGACACAGGGCTTCCCTGGAGTCCTTTGCCAGGGTTGACCCAGTGACCCTGGGCCCAGAGCCCCGGAAGGCAAGGCCAGTAGCCTCCCGCTGCCCGCCTGGAGGTGGGCACCCCCGAGGCACCTGCCCAGACCCCACCCCTGATCCTGTCTGAGGGCAGGGAAGGCCCGGGGCCAGTGGAAGACGAGGCCCAGGTGACCCGGGGGTGGACAGAGGGCTGGGGGGTGGGGGCTCTGGCTGGGAGCTCCCTCAGCCCGAGGGAGGCGGCCTGGCAGACCCCTGCCTGGTGGGAGGGCCCATGGGCACGGGGTAAGTCCCGCTGGAATGTCCCTGCCTGGCCGGCTGCCCACCGGGCCCGCCCCTCCCACCAGCCTCCGCTGAAGCTATAAGTTTCCGGGGAGGAGGGGCCCTGCTGCGATCTCGCAGACGCGGCGAGATGAAGACAGCCCTGCTGCTCCTCCTGCTGCTGGCCGCGGCCGCTGGCCCAGGTGAGGGCCGGCCCGGGGGCCGGGGCACGGGTGGCGCTGGGAGCCCGGAGCTGGGGACTCTGAGGCGCAGAGGACCCCGGGACCGCAGGGTGCTCTGGCCTCGGACCTTAGAGCTACCCCCCCTACCCTGACTCAGTGGAATCAGGCCCCCGAGATTAGAGCCGGAGGACCCCAGACTGCCCCGGGGCTCGGCGCTCTGCAAGACGGCACGTTTGCAGCTGTCTCCAGACGCCCCCAGGGGAAGACAGGGTCATCTGGCCCCTGCCCCTCCTGGTCCTCAAGCCCCCCAGGACAGCCATGCTCCCCACAGGCTCGGCACGGCCAAGCAGGCAGCCCGGGGCCCCGGCTCACGCCCGGGTCCTCAGAGGGGCCCAGCCCCTGGGGCGGGGGCCTTGGCAAACGCCCAGCCCCCCGGCTCTCCGGGCTGCCTGTGGAGAAGGGTCTCCTAGGCACCCCGTGTGGGCCACCTCCTCACCGGCCCTCTAGCCGTGCCCTGCTCCGGTCCCGGGGCCCCAGCGGACAGAGCCTGCCGCCCCTCTCCTGCTGAGGCTGTGCGGGGCAGGAGCCCTGGCAGGCCCCGGGGGGCCTCTGCAGCCCTGAGCGGCCTCCCTGGGGCCGGCCGGGCCCCTGACGCCCCCTCCCCCCCCCCCGCCAGCCCGGGCTCTGCGGTGCTACGTGTGCACCAGCGCCAGCAACTGTGAGAAGACACAGATCTGCCAGCCCTCCTCGCGCTACTGCAAGACCCAGTACACGGGTGCGTGACCCGGGCACCCCCAGGGCCGGGTCGGGGGGCCGTCCCGGGCAGGTGGGGGCAGCGATGTCAGCGGTGGCTCGGTCGCGGTGGCAAGAGGGGCCGGGGGCCGGGATGGGTGCTGTGGGTGCCAGCTGGGTGGGGCGTGGGCACCGGCGGCGGCCAGGCCTGACCTCGCTGGCCGCCCACAGTGGACACCCTGAAAGGGAACCTGGTGGAGAAGGGCTGCGCGGACTCCTGCACGCCCGACACCTACCAGTCTGGCCAGGTCAGCAGCGGCTCCTCCTCCACCTACTGCTGCGAGACGGATCTGTGCAACCAGAGGCTGCCGGGCCACCCGCCCAGCCGCGTGCCCAGCCGCGCGCCCGCCGGCACCCTGCTCCTCGGCGGCGCCCTGCCCCTGGCGCTGGCCCTGGGCCTCCTCACGCTCCTCTGGGCCCCCGGCCTGTGAGCCCAGGGGAGGTCCTTTCCCGGGCCTTCCCCGGCCCTCCCCGGCCCTCCCCAGCCGTGATGGGGGCCCCAGGGCTCCTGGGCTGGCACAGCTTCCTCAGGGGTCTGGGCCAGGTCCCATGGGCAGCCAGAGCCGGGGAGCCCCGCCCCTGCCTCTCCCAGGATCCCAGGAGGGGAGAGCCCAGCTCCCTGGGCCGGGGAGGGTGGGGACGGGCATCCTGACCCCTGCCGGTTCCATATCTGTCCTGTTTGGTTTCCTTGTTTTTTTTTTAGTTGAAACTCCAGAGGAATAAATGATTAAGAACCAGTGTGGTCCTGTGTGTGTGATTCCAGGAGTGGGGGCAGGGGAAATCCGGCCACGCAGGACCCCAAGTCCCAGAGCCAGTCACGCCTGAAATGCCACTGCTTCCCTCAGAAGGGACATGGCCCTCCCCAGGCACTGCCTCCCTTGCCCGAGGAAGAGGAGGGAGGGGAGGGAAAGGGGGAGGAGAGGAAGGCTGCTTGGGGGCGGGGGGAGGCCTGAGGAGGAGCGCAGGGCAGAGGGGCTCTGAGGCCCCCCAGGAGGTCAGGCCCCTCCCACACGGAGCGGTCAGGGAGGACGGACTAGCCCTCTGCCCCCGAGCGACCTCCAGACCCCGGTCCCTGGGTCTCCAGGGAGGCTGCCTGCGGGGCCCAGGCCCAGCGGTGACTGGGAACCACGCAGACACTCCAGCACGGCCAGGACGGGTCCGGGTACCGCGGGTCATCCTGCCATCCCCTCGACCACCTTTGCCCCAGGGGAGAGAGTGGTGTGTCTGTGTGTGAGTGTGAGTTGAGTGTGAGCGAGTGTGAGACCACTGGGGGCTGGGAGCCGAGCAGGAGCCCAGCCTCTGAGGGCCAAGATCTGAGTCGGCTGCCCGGGTTCTGGGCCCACGCTCCGGGTTCCAGGCCCACACTCCGGGTTCCAGGCCCATGCTCCGGGTTCCGGGCCCTCTGCCCGGGTTCCGGGCCCTCTGCCCGGGTTCTGGGCCCTCTGCCCGGGTTCTGGGCACCCTGAATCAGTGTACCTCTGGGAGTGAGCACCCAGAATCCCACGGATGCCCAAGCAAGTGCCCTTCTCTTCCGGGAGGACTCCGGGTGGGTGGCGGCCCCACTTCCGGAGCAGCTACCACACTCCCCCCCTCCCTGTGGTCAGAGCCCGGACTCCCTCCCACCCGCTGGCCCCCTTGGCCTGAGAAGCCTGTGGCACCCCCACCCCTGTGGCCAGTGGAGGGGTGGCAGCTGGTGTGGAGGGGTCAGTGGCCTTTGCTGAGCCTGGGACGAGCGCCCACCTTGTAGTCCCCACGTTTGGTGAGCCGAGTCCCTCCCCGCAGCCCCGGGGGGACGCCCTGTGGCTCCGGACCTCTGTGAGTGCACGGTGACGCGAGTCTTCTGCTGCCACCCCGGAACCCCGCCCCAGAACCCTGCCCCGGAGGGCGGCCCCCCCAGCCCTGTGTGCCCCTCCCCCACCGCTCTGCCTCTGAGCTCCACCTGCCGAGGGCCGCCTGGCTCCCACCTTGTTCTTGCTGGTGACCTTGAACCCAGTACTGCACTCCCAGGACCTCCGGTCCCTGCCTGTGCCTTGGAACCCCCCGGAAACCAGCGCCCCTCATGTCCCCTGTGCCTGAACTTGGGGCCCTGGAACCCCCTCTGCAGGGCGGCCAGCTTCTCTCCCCTCGGTGCCCCCAGGGGCTGTGAGCTCCTGCCGCACGCCCACACGGCCACGGAGCGTCCTGAGGGCAGGGCCCGGGCCAGCCCCCCTCTGAGGCCCCTGCACAGTCAGGCACTGGGGGGAGTCCGCCCACAGAAGGTGGCTGCCCTCTTGGGGCCCCCGCTGCACTCTCTGGGCCCACAGGGGGGTCCGAGTGGCCAGTGACCCAGGGACGCGCAGGCCGCAGACCGTCCTCGTTTCTGCCAGTGGGGGGAGGGCGGGGACAGCACCCCAGGGGAGGGCAGGGCGCTCCGTGCTGGTCCAGCTCAAGACAGGGGCAGCGAGTGCATCCAGGGTGCCAACCGGCTCCCCCTGCCCCGGGCAGCAGGCTGGAGACGGGGTGCACAAAGAAGAGGGCTGGAGGGGTCGGGGGGTGGGGGTGAGGCTGGCCAGAAAGGGGTCACTTTGTTCAGGACGCTCCGTCTGTGTTTATGAGGGATGCTGGCCTGTAGCTGCTCCCCTGGAAGACTGAGCCTGTTTTGGGCACGGGGGGGGGGCAGGGGGGAGTGCGGGCATCCCGGTCGAACAGGCCACGTCCCGTGGCTGCTGGGCGGGGCCACATGACCCTGGTGCTCTCTTTCTTTAAGTGCTTCGTGGGGTTCACTGGAGAGGTCACTGTTTGTGGGAAGATGGCTAACTACGGTTTTAAGTACTTCGAAAGACAGAGGGATCATCAGCTTGCAATGAGGACAGGGAAGAAGAAAGTTTGCCGTGGTCTGTATGAAAAACAGCACCACAATTTGTTAATAAAACCCACTGGGGTCCCCCCCCTCTATTGCCGGCTGTGTCTCTGAAGGGGTTGGCCCGAGTCAGCGAAGCTACAGCGCTGGCTGGCCCAGTGTCAACGACGTTTCCTCACCGTGCTTGCTTTTTCTTTCTTTTTGTGTTTCCCCTTGTTGTCCGTTTGACATCGCGACGACCCGTCGGGAATTCCTCTTCGTCCTCCTGGTGCTGCTGGTGAGTCCCACCCCCTCCTCCCCGTCCCTCTGGGGCGGGCTCCGTGCTCAAGGTGTTCTCGGAGAACCGGCTTCTGGGTTGAATGATCTTCTCTATTGTTTTTGTTTCACTGACTTTTTTGCCCTATTTTATTTTCTTTGTTTTGCTCACTTTGGGTTTGATTGGCCTTTTTTGTTCTTGTTGCAGAAGTTGTTGAGACTGAAAGTGACTAAAAGGCACCTTACTAGCCCTGGCTGGTGTGGCTCAGTGGATTGAACACTGGCCTGTGAACCAAAGGGGTCGCAGGTTCAATTCCCAGTCGGGGCACATGCCTGGGTTGTGGGCCACGTCCCCAGTAGGGGGTGCGTGAGAGGCAACCACACATTGATGATTCTCTCCTTTCTCCCTCCCTTCCTTTCTCGCTAAAAATAAATAAATAAATAAATATTTTTTAAGTGCTTCGTAGGGTTCACTGGAGGGTTTATTTTTAGAGAGGGAAAGGGGGAGATAGAGAGAGAAACATCAATGTGCGGTTGCTGGGGGTTATGGCCTGCAACCCAGGCATGTACCCTGGCTGGGAATCAAACCTGCAACACTTTGGTTCGCAGCCCGCGCTCAATCCACTGAGCTACACCAGCCAGGGCTAAATAAATAAATATTCTTAAAAAAAAAAAAAAGAAAGAAAGAAAAGGAAAAAAAAAGAGAGAAACCTTACTAAAATGTCATCGGGGGCCAGAAGGGGGCGCTCTCACACCAACGCGCGGCAGCTCCAGGCAGACACGTCAATCACAGGCCGAGAGCGGAACCGTCAGCGGGAAAGAATCCTCAGTGACAGGTTCAACCGGAAGAGACGCTTGCGGCATCCCCTACCGGAAACCGACCGTCCAGCAACTCGGCCAATGACAAATTGGGGAAGTGTGCTTTCCTCTCACGGACTTTCACGCAAACCAGTCTCTCTCCACTGTCCCCTTTTTCTCCATAAAATATTATTCCTTTCCTTTTTTGGACCTGCCTTGTCTCGCCAGTGACCCCCGAAGAGCACGCGTTTGGACCGCGCCGTCCTCGGATGCCGAGGGCTGACCGTGAGTTACACTGAGATTTTCCACTGTCCGGGTGGCCCGCGCCCCTGTCCCCCTGCGTTGCTCCAGGGTCAGCGGAACCCCAGCGGAGCAGGTCAAGGTGAGCGAGTTCGTGACCTCACGCCTCCTTTACCCTTTCTGAGGTTCCGTGCGTGCGCTTCCGTGGGCTCCCCGAAACCGGAGTGGAGATCTCTGCCTGTAACCCTGCACTCCATTTTTCTCCTTCCCATCCCAGCACGCTTTCTGGCTGTGTGTGTTTCGGAGCTCAGCTGGGTGCACAGACATTGAGGATCCTTTATGGCCCCCAAGAACTGAGCCTTATGGTTACGAAATGCCCCTCTTTAACCCGGCTGTGTTCTTTGCTAAAACCCACTTTGCTTCGCTTTAACACGGTCACTGCTGCTTTCTTTCCGTGGCTGTTGTTAGCACGGGAAACCTCTTTCCAGCCTTCGGCTTGTGGCCCATTTGTGTTCTGTGAGTGCAGTGGTCCGTTTCTGCTTAAACACAGCCTACACTTGGCCCTTTCCCTCCTCGGCCACCCGGACGCCCTCTGCTTTGTAACCGGTTTGTGAACCACGTAGTGTGGTTCGGTGGGGCTGGGCTTCAGCTGTGTGAGTGGGGCCGGGCGAGGTCTAAGGCGCTGAGCTGGCCACAGCAGGGAGGCTGTTTCCCTCTGAGCGCTCTGCCCATGGCCCCCTAATTCCAGGTTTGTCCTCCGCTCACATGGGCGACCCCTCCCAGGCCGGTGTGAACTCTGGAACCGCCTGTCTCCCCGCCCCCCCCCCCGCCAGGTAGGTTCCTCAGGGGCCAGCAAGCACCGGTGGGCACTCAGCTGGCCACTTGGGGACGCTCTGCTTGCCCCCCGCTCTCTCGCTGGCGTCTCTCTGTCCTGTGCCCCGCCCCGTGAACTCCAGCGGCCCTGACCTCCCTGCAGGCCCCAGTCTGTGTCCTCTGTTCCCTGCTGTGGCCCGTGGCTCCCGCCTCTGGTTCCCTTCATCCAGGGTCACTGCCCCTCGTGGTCTGAACGCCGTTGCCTGGGGGTGTTGCCTCTCAGGGGCCGTTTGGTGCACAGGGACCCCCATCTGTCTGGAGATTGCTCGCTCAGCTCTGGAGGCGCAGCACCTGGGGCCTCCCAATGGTGCATCTCTTTCAAAGGGGGAAAAAAGGGGGGGGGGTGTTTCAGGGTCCTTGTTTTCTTTGAAAGGACTGTACATTTTTATTGGTTTATTTAATTTTTTATTGATTTATTTTTACTTTTTCTTTAGAGAGAGAGGAAGGGAGAGAGAGAGAGACAGAGAGAAACATCAATTTGGTGTTCCACTTACTGGTGCACTCATTCGTTGATTCTTCTGTGTGCCCTAACCGGGGATCGAACCCGCCACTTTGGTGTATCAGGACGATGCTCTAACCAACTGCCTACCGGCCAGGGTCTGTATTTTATTTCTCACATTTAAACAAGAGAAAGTATGCCCTGGCTGGTGTGGCTCAGTGGATTGAGTGCTGGCCTGTGAACCAAAGGTTTGATTCCCAGTCAGGGCACAGGCCTGGGTTGTGGGCCAGGTCCCCAGTAGGGGGCGTGCGAGAGGCAACCACACGTTGATGTCTCTCCCTCTCTTTCTCTCTCCCTTCCCCTCTCTAAAAATAAATAAATAAAATCTCTTTAAATAAACAAGTAAGTAAAAAGTTTTAGGGCCCATGAAAATCTTAAATTTTGCCTAAAACAGAACAAAAGCTAAATTTTAGTGCAGCCATGAAAAAATTATTTGACGTTGATATTGCCACCGTGGGAGGGGTCCAAGGTTTGCTTCGGCGCTTTGTCGGCGCGGAACAGGTGCGCGGCGTGAGGCCCAGAGGTGCTGGGTGACTTGCCGAGGCCGCACAGCAGGTAAGGAGGGCGCGGTGGGGGGCCGGGGCGGCTGCATTGCGTGCGGAGCCGGCTGCTAGAGTCACCGCGCCCCACCGCGGCTCGGTGAGCCCGAATGGAGGGATGACGGGCGGGGCGGCTGGTGGGCGTGGGGTCCACTCAGGGCTGCGGCGTGGGTGAGCGGGCGAGGCGCCCGCGGCAGCACCCAGGCAAGCAGAGGGCGGGGCCCGACCCCCTGGAAATGGCCCGGGACGCGTCAGGGCGCTGCCAGTGCGCCCGAGGGTCGAGTGGGTGGGTGTCCTGCGGCGCCGCGTACGGGCCTGGCAGGGGCTGGCTGCCCGCGACGTCACAGCGTCGGGACGCGGGCGCTGGGGTCCGGGTCCCCGCGGGGCGGGGGGGCTGGGAAGAGCCCGCGGGCGGGCGGGGGCGCTGGGTCCCGCCGAGCGGGGGGCGGGGCTGGGGCTGGGGCTGGGGGCGGACGTGGGGGTGGGTCGGGGGCGCGGCCCAAGGAGGCCCTGAGCGGGGTCCGGGCCCGGCCCGGGGGCGGGCCCAGCAGCGGGGCGGGCCCGGGGCGGGGCCTGTGCGCGCTCACGCGCGGCCGGCCAGCTGCCGCGGTGCGGGGGCCGGCGAGGGCCGGAGCGGACTTCTGCGGGGGTACGGACGCCGGCACTGTCAGACCCACGGAGGGGCCGGCGGGCCGCCGCGGGTGAGTCCCGGGCGCGGCGGAGCCTCCGCGCGCTGAAGGTCAAGGTGGAGGTCACCCGGACACCCACCGGCTTCGCACCTCGGTCTCCGGGGCGGGGTCCCCGGGAGGGGGCGGGCGGGAAGCGCCGAGTGCAGGCGGGGCCTTACTCAGGCCCTAGGCATCTCGAGTCCACGCCCTGGAAATGGGTCGTGGAAGCTGGAGCTGTTCTCGGGAAGGGGAGTCTGATTGGGTCCCCGCGGCCTGGGGCCTGGGGCCGGAATATCCCGCGGAGGCCGCGGAGTCGTAGTACAGACACCGCTCCCCAACCCAGAAGGGGGTCATCTGCTCCGTCCCCCGCAGCACTCCCAGACTGGCCGGTCCATCCTGCTGTCTGGCCAAGTGCCCTCCTGGAATGCATTCAAAATGCACCCTGCAGGCTGCAGGGAGCTCACGGCCGCGGAAGGCTCCCGCAGCGGCCGGTTCTCCGGACTGAGAGCCTGCGCAGGGCTCCGCAGGTCTTCGGGGGAGGGGACCCCCGTCGGGCCCCCAAAGTAGCAGGAAGTGGGGGCCCCATGCAGGGGCAGCCCCGGAGCAAGCAGACTGGGGAGCACTGAGGAAAAACCCACCCACGGGCCCTGGGCGGGAGTGGGCTGCGTGCCAGGCCCCCGTGGGGCCCCTGCTGAACGGGCCCTGGGTGAAGTGTGGGCTTCGGCCTGGCACCCAGGGCCCCTCCAGCCTCCCCCTGCCCTGCCTGCCCCTCAGTCTGCCCCGCCCTCTGCGCTGCAGGCGGGGGGGCTCTCTGTCCCAGCCCTGCTCCCTTCTCTTCCCGAGACTCCTCCCCCAGGATACCCCCCGCCCCGGTGCCCCCACAGAGTGGGGGGCTCCTCTGCCCGTGGCACCCTGGTCCAGGCCCCTCTCCTTGTCCCCCTCTGTGCAGGGCTGCAGTGCCACCAGGAGACCGGGGGCTCCCAGAGGGCAGGCGGCCTGTGCCCTGCCCCAGCCTCACCTGCGTGGAAGCGAGGACCAGCCGCTGCCCGCTCCCTGCACCCACTGTGCTCTCCAGCCTCTGGCCATGGCGCCCCTGCTCACCCTAGTCCTGGTGGCCCTGGTGGGCCTGCCTCTGGGTGAGATGGGTGGGGGAGGGAGGGATGAACCGACCGCGCTTGTGGGCGGGCCGGCGGGCTGACAGTGGGCAGGGGCCGGAATGCCCGCCGACCCCCGCTCCTTCCGCTCTTGTGCCCTGCGGGAGGAGACGGGACCAGGGGGTCCGGCGGGTCTCAGGACAGGCCTCTCCCTGTCCTGCGCCCCCTGTGCCCCCCGCACCCCCTCCCCCCCTCCCGGACGCCCAGCCCAGGCCCTGGACTGCCACGTGTGCACCTACAACGGGGAGAACTGCTTCAGCCCCATGCGCTGCCCGGCCATGGTCAGCTACTGCATGACCACACGCACCTGTGAGTCGGTGGGAGGGCTCCGCGGCCGTCCTGCGGAGGCCGAGGGGGAGGCTCCCGCCTGCCCCAGGACCCTTCCTGGGGGCCCCCAGCTGAGGGGGAGCTGCCCTAATGGCCCTGCATGCCGGGGCTGGGCCGTCCTGGGGCAGGTGGCGGCCCCCCGGGTCCCAGCCAGCCCCCTGCTCTCTGCAGACTACACGCCGACCAGGCTGAAGGTGAGCAAGTCCTGCGTGACCAGCTGCTTTGAGACCGTGTACGACGGCTACTCCAAGCACGCCTCCACCACCGCCTGCTGCCAGTATGACCTCTGCAACGGGGCCGGCCTGGCCGTCCCGGGGACCCTGGCCCTGGGCCCCATACTCCTGGCCACCTTCTGGGGCCTGCTCTGAAGCCCTGGCTGCCCTCCTCCCCCCGGGACCCACTCGGGGACCAAGCTCTGAGAGGCGCATCCCCGCCCTCTCGCCCTGCCCACCCTCTGCCCCAGGAGACTCCCTCAGCCACAGCCAGGGCTGTCTGCAAGAGGACCCTTGACCTCTCTTAGCTACGAAGGGGCCTCTGTCCCAGGCCGCGACCTTCCCATTCGGAAGGCTGACGTGGGACTGGGCCTCGCGCAGGCGGCTGGCCTTGGTGGGAGAGTTTGGTCCTCCTCTGCCCCACCCAGCAGGGAAGTGCGCTATTTGCGGGGGTCCCAGGCAGCCAAGGAGCACCGGCTAGGCTAGCGGGGGGATGTGCCCCGGCTCCCCTGCGGCCCTGGGGGCAGCTGTGGCCTGAGGGCCAAGGGAGGCAGGCCTTGTCCCCCAGTGGTCCCGGGCGGGAGTGCCGGACTTGGTGTCTCACGTAGGCGAGGGTCTCGAGCTCTGGGGGTTCTTCCTGAGTGCCGCTCCCGCTCAGTGTGGGAGCGACGTAGCCCAGCGTTTCACAGACGAGCCCCCCCAGCCGCAGCTGAGTTGAGTAGTGAGGCCCACACACAGAGGAAGCCCCCCCCCCCCCGTGTCACTAACTGGAGTGGACAGGCTGTGGCTAGGGCTCCCTTAGGGCGCCTGGCTTTGGGTGTGAAGAACATCTCCTTCGCTTGTAAGTAAATAAAACCACGTGGACAACCAGGTTTCCTGCTGGTAGGGAGCACCCAGGCGCCTTTGAGTTCCCTAACTAGGGGGCGGGGTCCTCCGCCTGCCAGGCCCCTCCAGCCCCAGAGGCTGAGTCCTGGTCTGGGGAGGGGTCCGTCCGTACCCGCTCAGCCGGACCCTGGGGCTGCCCCCCTCCGCCTCCCAGCCTCCCAGGGGCTCTGCTGACGCAGAGGCGGGGCTGGGCAGGCCTGCGGGACTATATTTGCTCGGGCCTGAGAACAGACGCCGGGCTATTTTGGGCCAGGAGGGCGGGGAGCAGGGTGATGGGCCACCCCAGGTCTGGTTTCCAGGCCCCGCCGAGCCACACGGAGCGCAGTCAGCGACGAGGGGGCTGAACTGGGACCCTGCCCCAGGGCAGAGGTGGTTAGAGAGCCTCGGGCAGCCGGCGAGCGTCCTGGGGGTGGGGGGCTGGCAGGAGGCAGGGTCAGGCCTGTGGGCGGGGAGGAGTCCGGGAGGGTCGCGCCGGCACTCGGCGCTGCCCGGACTGCACCTCTGCACCCTCGCTTGCGGTGACCGCCGTCCGCGCTGACTCGCTGCACCATGCCGGCAGAACAGGGGCGCGGTCAGCTGGCCGTGGCCCCCGAGGCCGGCCACCCTGGCCATCCCGCGCCGGAGCGAGGAAGTCCGCGCTCCCGAGGCTGGAGATCCGGTGGAAGGCGGGTCTCCCACCGCGGGGCTCGGCGAGGGCGGGGGAAGGACCCTGATCAAGTGGTGTAGGGTTCTGAGTTGGGGGTAAACTGTCCTGGGTGGCTCCCGTTGAAGAGCCGGCGGGTCTCGCGAGAAGTTCCTTCCCGCAAGGTAGTCATTGCCTCGGTCAGCTCCGGGAAACCGGAGGGCTGGAGCGCTGGGGAAGGAGGCGCGGGCAGACGCCCTGAGGACGCGAGCAAGGGCCCCGCCGCGCCGGGGGAGCCTCCGCCCTCGCAGCGCGCCTGCTCCCCCTGCTGGTGGCGCGTGCGCAGACCGGCCCTCCAGGCGGCACGATTTCAGCGCAAACTGCGAGCCCGCGAAGCGCCCGCTGGCCCACGGGGGCGGGTACGCGCGGCACAGTCTGACTGGGAGGAAGTGGGCTCCGCAGCTGCCCTTGGAGGGAGGCCTCCGCGACCGCCAGCAGCGGCGTAAGGCCCTTTTTGCCCGGCGCCCCCCAGGGGGCGACAGTGAGCAGGGCGCAGGCCCGCACCTCGCGCCTACTTGGGGCTCCCCGGAGGCTGCGGGAGACCACCCCACAGGCAGGCTGGGCAGGTGGCCCCGCTGGGGGGTGACACCCTGACGCTGGTCACACTCTGAGCCCTGACACCGGTCACTCACATGTGGAAGGAAAGGGGCCACGCATCAACCTGGCCAGCTCAGGGGGGCCTGCGGGGCGGCCTGACACACTCAGAGACCCAGAGTAACCACGCAGGTCGGTCTGAAGCGAACACGCCGGATCTCAGAGCAGTTCGGGTGGGTAGCCATGCGCCACGCCGGCGTCTGTCCCTAACAAAGGGCCGTCTTTGCCCCGATCTTGACCTCGGTGGACCCGCCTGCCGTCTCCCTGCATCTGTGCCAGCCAGCCTCCAGGATGGGTGCAGCCACCGCACCAGGGCTGAGACCACAGATTCCCTCGTTGTTATTACGCTGTTTCTTATTTAAGGTTTTATTGGTTTATATTTAGAGAGAGGGGAAGGGAGAGAGAAAGAAAGAGGGAGAGAAACATCAATTGGCTGCCCCCATCAGGGCACCTGGATGGCAACCCAGGCACGTACCCTGACCCGGAATCGAACCGGTGACCTTTCGGTTTGCAGGCCAGTGCCCAGCCCACGAAGCCACACCAGTCCGGGCAGTATCGTGTTAACTGTTGACTGTTAACTATCCTTCATCCTCCTGCATCAAAGAACTGTGTGTCTCACCTTTCACCCAATCCCAGGCCCCCCCACCGTGCTTTCGCCCGCCTCCCTGATGTGTCACCCGTGGGTTGCATGTAACCCCCGTCTCCTCCTTGGACTGTGGTGTGGAAAATAAGGTGGTAAAAGAACAGAAAACGTAGAAAATGAGGAGCAAAGCCGCCATTCTCTGCAGCATTGCTCAGTCCGTTCAGATGTTGCTTCCCGGCCACTGCGTTCAGATGGGCTCAAATAAACACACTGAAAATTCCCACAGGATCAAATGTCTTTCACGTGACGCCCAGGAGCCCTGGCCCTGGTCACTCACGGAGACCCGGCCCCGGGGGCGAGCTGAACGCAGAGCCCGAACGCTGCGGAGAAGGCGAGGGAAGGTGGGATGGGGCCTCTCAGCACACAGGTGACCCCTAGACAGAGGCGGCCCCGGCCCTGGCGGGGCCACAGCTCCCCGCCCCCAGCAGACTGTTGAACTTTGCAGAAAGGGTCAGCTCAGGGGTGTGCTCCGGGTGGAAAGCGCGGGCGGGGCCCCTGCGAGCCGGGGCTGGGCCGGGCTGGGCTGCAACAAAGGAACCCAAAGGGGTGGGCCTGGCGGCCAGGGGAGGAACCCAGGGTGTGTGTGGCCGCTGTCTAATCCACTTAGCTCACCTGTGTCAGTGCCCGCCCGCAGCCGGCAAGGGGAAGTGTGAAACCGGGCAGGCCGGCTGCCCCCGGTCACCCAGCACCCTCAGTGGCCTGCCTGTCAGCAGCGGCCGGAGCCTCAGTCCCGCACCACGGTGCAGCGCAAGGGCCGGGACCCCGAGCTGCGGAGCGGAGGCACCTAGGTGCCCCACCAGTGCCCACGAGGCACGGGCCCTCCCAGTCTTGGGCGCAGAGCAGGTCCCTGACCCCCAGGGCTTCCCGGGAGAAGCAGAGTTCCGCCACTTCGCAGGGTGCGGTGGGGCCCCGTGTGAGCGGGCCCAGCCCAGGGAGACCGTGGCCTTGACCACTCTGCTCGGCCCCAGGCTGCATTTGCTACCCCGCCCCGGGTTTGCTCCAGCGTCTGTGGGGCTCAAAGCCGCGTGGGACAGGGTCGCACGGGGGCACAGTCTGGGCAACTCGGTGCGGGCACCCCAGGGGGGTGGGGAAGCGGTGGCTGGAGCCATGCCTGACTCTGGACTCAGATTCTCACTGCTCTCCCGTCTTAGCCCCGGCCAAGGGCCTCCCCAGCAACCTCCACACCTGCAGCGGGGCCCTGCCTGAGGGGCGGCCCCACTAGAGATCAAGGCCGACAGGATTAGCGTCCCCAAGTGGACCCTGGCCCCTCCCCACCCCTCCTGGGCCTTTCCATCGACCCAGCACTTTTCCTTTGTCTCCTTAAGCCTCTGAGCGCCGGTCGTCCAGGCAGCCACCTGCCCCGTCACCGCACGCCGCCCCCTGCAACCACCGCAGAGGAGAGGGGAGGCGGCCGGCCCCTGGGGGACTTGGACCCAGGGCCACGGAACCAGGAACCTGCCCTGGAGACAGAAGTGGGGACCCAAGGAAGGAATGGGGGGGTGGTGGGAGAGCCTCTACCCCTGCCCCTCTCCCAGGCAGCCTGGGGGGGTGGGCTTCCAGGCACAGGCTGTGCGGGGTGGGGGGGAGGGAGGCGAGGCTGTGCAGGGTGGGGGGGGAGGGGAGCGAAGGGCCCCAGGGGGAATTTCTGGGGGAATGAGAACTCCCAGAGGCTCAGAGGGGGTCACGGGAGGGGCAGGGAGGGGCGGAGTGGGAAGGGGGTGGAGAAGTCCCCCCCCTAAGAAAAGTGGGGCGTGCAGGTGGAGGCGGGAGGGGCCCAGTGGGCGGGGTGGGGGCAGGCTCTCCACAGCTCTGCCACCCACGGGAAACCAGACGGCCACAGTCTGCTCGGCTGAACAGTCTGGCCACTGCGCTGGGCGTCCACCACCTGTTGGGCAGGCCGAGGATGGGCGCGGAGGGGCAGCGCAGGGACCGGACCATGGGGGGGACGCGGCTCGTGCTGCTGGTGCTGCTGCTGCTGCTGGCTTCCTGCAGCGAGCCTGGTGAGGGGCCGGGGGCCAGGGTCGAGGGTCGAGGGGACAGCCGGTGGGGCAGGGAGAGGAAGAAAGCCGGGGGGCCAAGGGGCACGAGGACAGGGAAGAGAGGGCGGGGGCGGGGAAGTGTGGAGGGGCCTGAGGGCAGGCGGGGGCTGTGCCACAAGGGCGGCATGGTGCAGGGCCGGTGCCACCAGGGAGCTGCTGGGGGCCGGGGCGGCAGGGGACAGGCAGAGGGTGGCAAAGGCAGACGTGCGGTGGGGCGAGGGCCCGAGAAAACAACTGGGGTGACGCCCCAGCCCCGCAGGGCCCCTCACCCCACCACACAGGGAGCCGGGCCCGGCCAGGGGGGAGGGGAGCCGAGGTTGGTCAGAGACCCGGCAACACCGGCGTGGGGCGGGGTGGGATGGAGGAGCCCCTGGCCTCACGGAGTGGGTGGGCTGCTTGGGCGAGTTCGGGCCGCCGGGCACCCTGGGGGGGCGGGCACTGCAGCGGCGGCCTGCCAGCTGGTCCCCGCCCTTGTTAGGACAGGCCCTGCAGGTGCGCCCGGCCAGCCCGCCCACCCGCCCCCGACACTCTCAAAGCCGCTCCGTCCCCACCTCGGGGACAGGTGGCCTGGGACATCCACGGTTTCGTCCGGTGGGCACCTGGGCGCTGGGGGGTGTGGCCCCCCTCAAACCTGGGCCCCCAGGACGGAGGGCTTGGGCGGGGCGGGGTCGGGCCGGCCTGACTTACTCGTCACCTCCCGCCCAGCGGCGGCCCTGCAGTGCTACAGCTGCGCGGAGCCCACGGGGGCGTCCAGCTGCGTCACCATCGCCACCTGCAGCACCAACGAGACCGTGTGCAAGACCACACTCTACTCCCTGGAGCTGGGTCAGTGGGCGCTGGGCGGGCGGGCGGGCGGGGCTGCCCCCGGGGGGGGGCACCGTGGCGCCCCCTCCCCCGCCTCTCCCTTGAGGAATCCCCGAGCCGTCCCCGGGCCCTGGCGCACAGCGGGCGCTCAGCTGGGGTTGGGGGAGGAAAGGGGCTGGGCCTCGGAGGGAGGGGAATGGGGCGGTGGCCCCGCAGAGGCGCGGGGGCCAGCCTGATGCCGGCGCCGCGCCCACAGTGTACCCCTTCCTGGGGGACGCCACCGTGACCAAGTCCTGCGCCAGCACGTGCGTGCCCTCGGACGTGGACGGCATCGGCCTGACGCGGCCCGTGTCCTGCTGCAACACCGAGCTGTGCAACGGGGCGCCCGCCCCGGGCGGCCCGGCCGGCCTGGCCCTCACCCTCGCCGCCCTCCTGAGCCTGCACCTCTAGAGCCCCCCTCCCCGCCCCCCCAGCCCCGAGTGCCTCGAAGAAGCCCGCCCACCCGCACCAGCCTCCGGGTCTCCTTTCTGCGCGTGGGCCGCCCGCCGGGGTGGGAGGGTCTCCACCTGCTCTCGGGGGCCGTGAGGCCCGTGTCCCCACCTGCCCAGCCTCCGAGGCTGCATCCCCCAGCCCACACCACTGTCCCCACCCGCCTCCCGTGGCAGTGGGCACGGTCACTGGGCCTGGGACAGGCACACGGACCAGGCGGGACCCTGCCCTCCGGAGGCCTGACTGGGAAGTGGGCCCCCACGGGGGGGGCGGTGGCTTCTCGGAGGCGGGGCATTAGGGCAGGGCCAAGGACAGTGGAGAGACAGGGTGGGTAGAGGGGCACACCAGGCCGGGCGGGCAGAAGTGGCCCAGGACCCTGGACAGCTCCACGGAGCACCCCACTGCCTGACCCTCCGGCCGCAGTCGGGCCTGCGGAGCCGGGTCCCCCGCCTCACGTAACAGAGGGAGCAGAGAGGAGCGCCTGGCCGGGGGAGTCCCTGAGCACCCACCACCTGCGCCGCCCCACTCCCTAGGTGTCCGGGGAAATCCAAGTCCCAGTGTGGAGGGGGGGACCCTCAGTTCGTTCACCTTGGACTCAGGCCAGCCCCAAACCCTCCAGACCATCTCCCTGTCACCGCCCAACGGGCCCCTTGTCCCCCGAGGGCAGTCTGGGCCTGAGTCCGGGCTGGACTCGGCACTCGAGTGCACACAGAGGCAGCTGAGCGCCCCCTCCAGGCTGCCTACTCCCATCTCCCCCCCCCCGCCCCCCGCACACACCACCTCCTTCTGGTCTCCTCGTAACCCTCCACAAGGCCGGGCCACCTCCACTGCCGAATGCCTGCTGCCAACCCCACCGCCCCCAGCCGCCTGCCCCGCCCGGGTCTGTGGAGCCCGGGGAGGTGCTTGGAGCAGGGACCCCGCCCACACCCCCACCACTCGCCTGCTTCACGCCCTGGGGGCCCTGGGGGTCCCACTTCCCGGCCCTCTCCCAGGGGCCTGCAGAGCAGCCCTCCCACTCACCGTGGGCCCCCACCCCCACCAGGAGCCTGGGGGCGCAGGCCGAGTCGGGGGTGTGACCTCCCAAGCCCCCCGGGACCTGACCCTGGGAACACACTGGGAACCCGGCCCAGGCGTCCCCTGATGGGACCGCAAGGCCCTGGGGCCGGGGCCACGAAGGCCAGCAGCTGGGTGGGGGCTGAGGCAATGCCTTCCTGGCCTTGGGCCGGAGTTCTGGGCGACGGGGACAAGCCCTGCCTGGCAGTGGCCCCTGGGCTCACAGGAGCCCCCAAGCCTGGACGGCGCCCCACACCAGGACATGTCCCAGCGAGTGCCCACCGCGTCACCGGGGTCAGAGCTTCCAAATGAGGACACCCCCGCACGCTCCCAGTTCAGGCCCTTTAATCCTGGGCGTTCTGCACGTGAAACAGACAGTGCGGCTCTCCAGCGGCGGCTGGAGGCGGGCAGCAGGGGTGGGGTGGGGGGGGGTGGAGTCCGGCGTCGCTGTGCTCCGGCTCTCGCTGGCGGAGGGCTTCCCGGAGGAGGCTGCAAGGAGACAGTTCTGGGAGCAGCGGTCGCACACCCAGGGCCCTGACCCGTGTCGCCAGCCAGCCAGGGATCTGCGGCCATGAGGCAGAGCCCGGGCTGGGGCCCCCCTGCTCGGTGCCTCCGGGGCTCTCGGCCAGTTCCCGCTCCTTCCCAGGCCTCCCTGCTCCCGGCCCACAGGTAGGTGCCAGGCTGCAGCAGGCGGCCTCGGCCAGTGTCCCCGCCCTGAGAGCAGCCGCCGGGAGGGGCCGCTGGAACAAGGCCAAGAAGACCCCTCCCATCCAGAGAGGCGGCCCCCCCAAACCATCGGCAGGCCGGGATGTGAGGCAAGGGCAGTGCCCACCCGGGGTCACGCGGCGCAGCCCTGCGGGTGTGCAGAGAGGAGGGCAGGGTGCCCAGGGCACCCAGGCAGAGTCCCATGCCCTGCTTTGCTCTCTCCTGAGTGGCAGGTCCCAACTCGGTCACCCTGCAGCTACGGGAGGCTCACCACCCCCGCAGGAGCCCAGTGACCTCTGCCCCGCCCCACCCCCGGCAGGCCCGCCCTGCCCCGGGGGCCAGGGCCCCCGCTAAGCACCCTTCAGTCAGCCTCCCAGGCCTCTGACCTGTCCTGCGGGCCCCGCCCCCCAGCCTGCAGCCGGAGGGAGCGCCCTGAGATGCGGGTGCTCAGGGCGCCCCAGAGGGTCCCCGTGCTCCAAGGAGCCCCTGAAAGCCTGGCCCCCCAACCGCCCCCACAGCCTGCCTGCCAAGGGCCTCGGGCCCCCCACCTCGTCTCCACCCAGAGGGCAGACGTGGGTCAGCGTGCCCAGGTCACCCCATCCCATGCTCAGCGAGGTGTGGGTCGCAGAGGGCGTCACGAATGGGGGAGCGGCAGGGGGCCGAGCCGGGGGAAGGGGGCTAGGCGGTCACAAGGCCACGCCAGCTCCGAGGGACAGCCTGTCCTGGCCAGCCCAACCTGCCTCTCTGCCCCCTGGCAGGCAGGGATGAGCAGGCACCTGCCCAGGCAGAGGCTGGCTGGGGGGGCGGGGGGGCGGTCACTGGTCCTTGCCAACGGCGCTGAGCCCACTCTCGGCCCGGAGGAGCTGGCTGCTGGCCTCGTTGTAGGCAATCCAGTGCCGCAGGTCTTCTGGCAGCTCGGGAGGCTCCACCTGCAGCAGGGAGGAGGGGAGGCGCCTGCTGGCTGCCGTGGCAACGAGCAGGGGCGTGGCCAGGCTGCTGCCTTCGCACCTCTGTCCCCAGGGTCCCCCCTCCCGGGCACCCCCATCCTCATGGGCCTTCAGTGATTAAACTGCCTGCATCCCAGCTTTCCTTTATCAGGCCCACATCCCCCTCAAATCCATGGGGGAGCCCCCCACGTGTCCCCAGAACTCAGAGAGAGCCCTCCGAGGCCCGCTGGCCGGAGAGGGTGACGGGAGTGCAGAGGAGCCAGAGGCCTCGGAGCCAGACAGAGCGGGGGCCGGGGGCGGGGGAGCGCTGGGCCACCGTTGCATGACGGGGTGTCGGGTGAGGCACGGGGCCAGGCCTGGAGGGTGGCGTCGGGGATGAGGCGATAGCCCCCCAGGCAAATGTCTGCCCATCTCGGCGCATCCAGGGGGCTGGGCGGAGGGGCTCAGAGACGCTGCCCTGGTCTCCCTGCACACTGGGCAGGTCTAGGCTCCGGCTCTGCTCCAGGTCCTAGCCCGGCTCTTGGGAGCACTCCCCGCCCAGCCCAGCTGTCCCCTGCCCCAAGGCCATGCCAGCCTTTCAGCAGGCAGGAACCCTGGGCCTGAGTCTCCATAGGGGACTCCCAGGGGCTCCGGATGGAAACCGGGCAACTCCTGCCCACCCCTTGGCCCTCCTGTCCCTGGCTGGGTGTCTGCGGCGTCCCTGCCATGCTGTGCTGTCGGCCCCCTCACCGCTCACGTGGGCCTCACCCGTCAGCCTGAGGACCCCGCAGCCCCGCCTGACCGCACTGCAGTCCCCCCTGCAGGAAAGCTGCCTCTCCTCTCCTCTCACAGCCCATCGGCTTACAGCCTCCGTGGCCGCTCCCTCCCAGCCTCCTGGCACATGAGGGGACACACAGAGCATCTCTGTCCCCTTCGGGTGCATCCCTCCCAGCCTCCTGGCACATGAGGGGACACACAGAGCATCTCTGTCCCCTTCGGGTGCATCCCAGGCTCACCAGAAACCAAACTCCCGGGAGCTGCGCGGTGGCCCGCGGGCGGCCTTGAACGGCCCCATCCCTCTCTGAGCCTGTCCTCTCCTCTGACGTGGGAAGGGCGGGCCTCCCCCAGGCGAGGGGGTCTGTGTACCTCCTCTTCCCAGAGAGGGCAGCGTCCGTCCTGCCCGAGGGCACCCAGCCGTCAGGACAGGCCCCAGCTTGGACAGAGGCTCCACGCCAGTTTCCAGGAGGCGCCTGCAGCAGGAGCCTGCCCTTGCCATCACTGCTTCCGTGGCACTGGGCTGTCCCCAGGGCCTGGCTCCGAGCTGCCGCAGCCGCTGTGCTGTGCTGGGAGAAGCGGGCCCTGGGGAGGGGCCTCGGGCCCCAGGCTGCATTTCGGCTTCTGTCTCCGACTGGAAAAAGCAGAAGGGCCTGCAGCTCCCCAGGGCTCAGTCTCCCCAGTCCCCCACAGCCAAATCCAGGTGACAGTGACCCGGTCTGTCGGCTCTAAGCCATGAGAAAGGGGGTCTCAGTGTCTTGAGAACTCCCAGCAACTTCCTATCACTGGCACCCGCACCCCCCCCCAACACACACACACACACACACACACACACACACACTGGGTTCAGAACCAAGGACCAGAGCAGGTGGTTCCACAGTCCAAGACACACAGCTCTCAGTCTGCTGGGAGAGGGCTGTCCTGGGCTTCCCTGCTCTGGAAGAGGTGACGAATGAGCACGGAGCCTTGTGGGGCTGGGTTAAGGAGTGGCAGGAGGGGAGCAAGAACAGATCAGCTATGAACAGTGGATCCGGGGACACTGGGAGCCCCGAGGAACAACGGCATCCACGAAGGAGGCCCTGGGCCCAGAGGAAAGGGCTGCACAATATGCAGAAAGGCAGGGGCACCCGGAAGGGTTGGGCCTTCGCCAGGGGAGTGGGCAAGGACTAGGGGCCCTCAGGGCCCCACGGGGCTGTGCATGGAAGTGGGGCATCTCACCTTGCGCTTGCACAGGTGCTGCACAATACACTCTGGAGAGGTGCCCAGCACGTGCTGGCGGGAGCGCAGCAGCGCGCACACGAAGCCGTCGCGCAGGCTGATGAAGCGCGCCTCCAGGTAGAAGGCGCGGTCATCCCAGCCCAGCAGGCGGGTGCGCACCTCGAAGGGCTCCAGCAAGCGCAGCGAGCGGCGGTAGCGCGCGCACGAAGCGGCCAGCACGGTGCGCCCCCCGAGCGCGCGCAGCGCCTCGAGCACGCCGCAGCGGGCTAGGTGCACGGTACGCGCCACATCAGCCTCCCGCAGGTAGCGCGCGTTGTTCATGTGCAGCAGCAGGTCCAAGTCCGAGGGCAGAACGCGGCCCGCGTAGCGCTGCTCCGCCAGCAGGTCGCGGACGCGCGGCTGCAGCAGGCGAGCGTGCAGCACGGCGCACGGCAGACGCACCAGGTACCACCCGTCCAGCAGCGCGAAGTAGGCGAGCGCTAGGCCCAGCAACGGCACGAGCAGTCCCAGCATCGCGACGGAGCCCGAGACGCCGGTGCTCGCCGGTGCGCGGTCCGCCGCTGCCCGCGCCGCCAGTCCCGGAACCGGCGAGCGCCGCACGGCCGGACCGAACCACTTCACGTAGCCGACTGAGGGGAGAACGCGCCGGAGGCCGCCAGTATTGTAGGCCTCAGCCCCGCCCCCCGTCGCGAGCTCCCCCGTGGCCTCCGTGGTCGGTTCCGACCCGCCGCAGGCGCCTTCCTGAGGCGGGCGGAGCGCAGGGCCGCGCGGGGGCGCCACAGCGACATCTGGCGGTCGCGCCCCGCGTCGCAGTGCCGTAGCGCCCGAGGTCGCCGCAGGGTCTCTACCGCGCCAGCGGCCGCAAGTCTGGGAGCCTCTCCGGGCCCTCGGGGACTACGGCTGGCCCCAGAGATTCGACCCCTGACCTGAGCAGAGTCAAAGGGCCCGGCACTCATCCAGTCCTGTCTGCCGGACTTTGCAAGAGAAATGATCACAGCCAGTCTCCAGGGAGGCTCACTGGAGACTCTGCTCCCGAACCTCCCGGGGCTCCCCACTTCCGCATGGTGACACCCTTAAAGTGCATGCCGCGGATTTAGGGCGCCTCGCAGCCTGGCCCCAGTCACCTTTTCAGTCCCAGCCTGTGGCCTCATTACTCCTCCCCTCCCGCGTCCATCCCCACCCCCGAAGGTCCTGGCCACCCGGGCTTATTCCCAAGCACTCCCGCCCTTGGCCCCTTTACGAACAGCAGCAAGCAACGTCTGGGGAGCGGGCAGGGGAGGCCGCGAATGGAAATGACGCAGCAGTGGCTTCACAGGTGTCCTGCACTTGGGACTCAGCCCAGTGGACTGTGGCACATGCTCCTCGGCCTGTCCCTCTTCTCTGCAAGGGTGGGAGGGAAAGCCCAGAGCAGCCGGGCCAGCTGGCTGACCCCCAGGGCTCTCAAGCCACAGTGTTTGCCAGCGTCCTGGCAGGGTGCCGGAGTCCTGGGGCGGGGAGGGGCGTTTATGAAGGAGCTCCTGGGCGCCGGCGGCGGCTCTGAGAACACACCCATCGGCAGTGGGGCCCTAGTCCACCCCGCACAGGGCCTGAGCTCGGCTGGCGGGGCCTCAGCCTCCATCTCGAGGGGCAGCTCTCCCGGGCAGCCCCACTCCACAGCCCCACGCTGGCCTCCCTCCGGTGCCTCGCCCCCATTCTCGCTCCTCCAGCCCCGCCCTGTGGCCGGCCGGGGTCTCACCTGCCTGTGGGGCTGGGCCAGTGGGCAGCAGGGCAAGGGAGACAAGCTCCATGGTTGCAGGTGAGCAGCGGTGCAGGAGGCCTCTGGGCAGCTTTCCAAGGCTCTGCCTGGCAAGAGGGAGGCTCCACGGCCAACGTGGTCAGTCCCACGGCCAGCGGGTGCCAGAGGGCCGGGCAGATCCCAACCCCCAGCTGCCCGCCAGGCTGCACCCTCCACTTCCTTTGTCCTTGTTTCTGCTTCCTGGAGGCAGGGCCGGCCCACGCAGGGGCCGCTCCCCCACCCTCAGCCACCTCTCAGCCACGCCAGGACGGGTCCCAGCTCCATCTCCAGCCAGTCAGAGCGGCCAGGGAGGGGAGGTCACTATGTTGAGACCCAGCCACCCCGTGAGTCTTGCAGCTAAGGGGCAGGGGGCCCCCTTGGGCAGGGGCAGCGCTGCCCTCCTGGGGTTCACGGTCCACAGCGGGGTGGCTGGCCTCTCACAGACGAATCGGCATGAACTGAGGTGTGGGCTGCAGGGAGGGCGCCGTGGGCGGGGGCCGAGCCGGTACCGAGGTCACCGCGCACCCCAGCTCACACCGCCAGCCCACACCTCTGTGTCACCTGGGTCCCAGGTTCAAGGTGAGAAGGCGGGGGCTGCCCCGGACCAGGAGGGACCCCCTGCCCCTTGGCCTCCCCACACTGCCCCGGGGCAGCTGGGAGGTGCAGCCCATTTCCCCAGGGCTCCGTCTTGCAGCAACCTCTTCGTGACCCCAACACACTCCAGGCCAGTTTTCAGGGGTGAATCAAGGAGGAGGGGCAAGAAGGTCAGAGGTGCTGCCTCCCCCAGAGCCTTTATCTGCGCAGCCCCTGGCCTGGGACGCCCCCCGCACCGCCGAGGGGCGAGCACCTGTCGGGCTACCTTGCTGTGAAGCGGGACCGCTAAGCAGCGGCTCTCAACTGTGGTGCGCCTGCGCCCCAGAGGCCTCTTGACAGTGCTTGGAGGCATTCCCTGTTGTCCCCACTGGGGACGCTGCTGGCTCCAGGCGGTGCAGCCCGAATGCTGCTTACCACCCTGCAGCGCCCCGGACGCCCCACGACGGGGGATCGCCGACCCCAGGGTCAGGCCGAACTGCAGCGCAAGAGCCGTGCGAGGACACGGCTGCGGCCCGTGGGCGTGGAGGGCAGAGCGTGACGCCCAACAGGACGCCTCTCGAGCCTGAGCGCCTGGTGAACGCTGCCTGCTGGCCTTGGGACCGCTTGGGGCCCGCCACGCCTTCCTTCTTCCGCTGTCTCCCTTGTGGAGTGGGGGCGCCCGTCCCCCCGCTGTGTTTGGAAGCGCGTAGCTCGTCTACTTTCACGGAGTGGACGAACAAGGGGCCCCGGACTGACCCTGACCGGCGCAGGGGAGGCCAGCACGGTGGGCCCTACGCACTCGGAGCCCACGGGTAGCCCCAGGGGACGGTCGGAACAGGGACCTTCCGCTCTCAGAGCGGATCCCGGCGGGCAGTTGGCAAAGGTCCCGGGCCCCAGGGGCAAGGGTCAGGGCACAGCCACTGCCCTGAGCGGGGAGACCGCGGAGCCCCGCAGTTATCTTGTTCCCCGCATACCACCTCTGGGGGCGCTGTCACTGTTGGACGTTGGCTGCCCTGACCCCACCAACGGGGAGGGAGCAGTCGGCTCTCCGCTCGAGTCTCCATCCAATCCCAGGGCTTCCCGCTCTGCTTTCGCCCGCCCCCTCCTCCGCCACCCACGGAGTCCACGTGACCCCCGCTCACGTCTCCTCCTCTGATTCCAGTGTAGAAAATAAGCTGCAAAACTGCCCTTCTCCTGCGCACTTTCTAAATCTATTGAGATTGTGCTTCCCGAGAGTCAGTTTGGCTCCAGTAAACTCCAAGGCTTCCCGGGCACCAGGCTCACGGCCGGCGGGAAGCTGGCCTCGGGCGGGAGTGTGCCCACACCTCACCGAGTCGGTCTGTGGGTTCCGGCGACTCACCCTGAGCCCCTCCTTCCCCCCGCTCTGGGGTCACCTCCCGGGACTCCAGGTTTTTCTGGTCTCTCTCGCCCCCCCGCCGCGCCCGCCCAGTCCCCTGGGGCCCAAACGAGCTGGGGAGCCGGCCAGGGCCAGGCACAGAGCTCTGGCCTCCCGGCTCCTGCCAGCAGAGGGGCCAGGCCCTGGGGGAGCCCCGCCCACCCCGGGAGGTCCTGGGGCTGCCGCACCCGCCCGCACTTGAACCACATCCCGCTCCACCCGCTGGGTGCCGGCTTCCCGAGCTCCCTCGGCCTGAGCCCCTTCTTTGCTGTGAGAAACTCGTCATCGAAAGACCCTCCCCCCAGGGCCTAGCCGGTGAGGTGTCCCCACCCTAGGCCTCCAGAACCTGGGGGAGGTATTGGCTGGGTCTAGCGCCGCCTCCAGGCCAGGGCTGCAAGCGAGGGACAACAGTGGTGGGCCCCAGAGGACACCAGTGGGTGCTCTTCCTGGTCCTCCTCTCTTTCTGACCCCTCCCTCTCTGCCTGAGTGGCCTTTAGGCAAGGCCAGAGGATCCCGGAGGGATGGGGGGATGTAGGGGTGCCCCATGCATCTTGGGGGTCAGTGCATGTGGTCCCATGTTCACGGGGCTCCAGCAGACTGGCTGCCACACCCAGGGACGGAGCCGGCCTTCCTGGGGACACCCTCGATGTCCCGGGAGACCCGCGGGGGAATGGTCCTGGGCTCCAGGCCCCCTCACGTGCCCGTTTCCTGTCTGCCAAGCATGTCTAACCGTAGCACGCCTGAACCCCGACACACGGAACCGTGAGCAGCCAGGCGGGTGCTGTTTCAAGCCACTAAGTTTTGGGGTGTGTTGGCACTCGGGGACCCTGGCTGATAGGGGGGCTCGAGGCAGAAGCGAAGACCAGGGACGAGGCAACTGTGAGACGCAGCGGGGACAGGAGTGGGGACAGGACAGCCATTGCATGGCTGCGGAGAGCAGAGCCCAGCCCAGTTCCCGGTGGGGGGTAAGGGGCACAGAGGACAAGGGTGACTCAGAGGTCTTGCCACCTCCCTGTGTGGAAACCTTCCTGTGAGGGTGTGACACCTCCGAGTGAGTGGAACGCCTGGGTGGCAGGATGAGTGCTCAGGCTTAGGAAAGCCATCCGCGGTGTGTCTTGAGAGCTCCCTGGAGGTGGGCAGGAGACCTAGGGGTCAGAGTTCGCGGCAGGGGTGCTGGCAGAACTGCGGAGAAGCCCTCAGCCTTTGCTGGTGTGTAAAGCCAGGAGGAGAATGGAGGGGCGGCCCAGGGAGTGGGCGTAGGCAGACAGGAAAGAGCCAAGGCTCGAACCTGGCCAGTCAGGAGTCAGCAGGAGAGAGTGAGGAAGGAGGACCAGGGGTGGGGCCGGGGGAGGGAAGGAAGGAGGAGGGACGGGTGGAAGCCATTTTAGTTCCCTGCTGCTGCTCCTGCGCCAAATGACCATGAACTTGGTGGGTTCAAACAACAGACATTTATGAACGTGCAGTTCTGGGGGCTCGCAGTTTGAGATGAGCCAAAACCAAGGTGTCAGCTGGGCTTATTCCTCCTGGAGGCTCAAGGGCAAGTGTGCTCCCCGCATTTTGCATTTTCCAGCCTCGGGAGGCGCCTGCGCGCCTCGGCTCGCGGCCCGGCCCTCCACCACGAAGCACACGCTGCACCGCTCGTCTGCAGTTCCATCCGCTTCCCTCCCTCGGCTCCAGCCGTCCCATTGTCTTCTCCGACGTGCCCTCCGTCCTCCCTCTTACAGGGTCCTGGGATGACCCGGGGCCTTCCCCGATTACCGGGGCACTGTCCCCCAGTCCCGAGCCTTAACTTAATAGTATGTGCGAAGTTCCGGTTGCCCCGCGAGGTGACACATTCACAGCTTCTGGGGATTAGGACGCGGGACCGTGGGGTGGGGGGCATTGTTCAGCCCACCGCAGTCTGCCCTCTGGTTCCCAGGGTCCCATTTGCCCCACGTGCCAAATATTCACCCCAACTCAAGGTCGCCCAAGGTCTCAACTCATTACAGCATCAACTCAAGTTCAAACCTCCTCCCCGTCTCAGCAGCTCAGGCTTATCAAATCTCATCACAGGAATCACCAACATTAGGTACGGGCGAGGCTCCCGCTAGGGAGGGGGCTGGGTGGGACGACAACGGCGTGGGCGCTGGGCGTCCCTACGGGAGGGCGGGCGGGCCGGAGCTCGGAGACCTCTCAGCAAAGGCCGCCTTCCCGCAGAACCCTGCCCCGGACTGCCAGGGTCCCAACTGCTTCGACACAGGGCGCCCCCATCACAAGAGCAGAGACGCCAGCCACCCCGCGCCCATGCTAGAGACAGACAAGCCGAGGCGCCCGGGGCCCCCGGGGCCAAGACCGTCGGGGCCCACCCCTGGCCGCCCCGCTTTCTCCAGCCCGCGCCCCCGGGGCCTCCCGCGATACCACTGAGAAAAGAGTGCTCCGGGTGCCTAGAGCGTCCCGGAAGTGGTGAGGTGTTGGGGGGCGTGGCCCGGCGGAGGGCTGAGCGCGGCAACTTCCGGTGGCGGTGTCCGCTCCGGGCCCGCAGGTGAGTGGGCCGGGCCTGGGGAACGCGCGGGTGTCGTGCGGTCTTCGGTGCCCTCGGGCGGGTAGTGCTGCCGGGGGCCGCACTCCGGGCGCAGGGCCCAGCTCTCCGCCTGCCGCCCCGCGGGGACCCGGGCCGAGCCGCCAGCCCCTAGCCTTCCCTGCAGCCTTTGCTCCGAGCCAGGCGGTGGCGCCCGGTCCCGACCCCGGGGTCTCGCCTGCCGAAGCCACCAGCCACCGAGGCACCTCCCTTCTCGGGGAGAAACCACCACAGACTTGACTTTCTGTCTTTCCTTTTTGGTTTGCCCTTGCCCCAGACCTGGCCCCAGTAGAGACGCTTTCCAAACCAGCCTCCCGCCGCGCGCGCGCGCGCGCCCTGCCCGGACCCTCCGCCCTTGCTCTGCGGAGACGGGCTCCGGGTTTGTACTCACCGGACCCTCGAGGTCGCTTCCCAGCTCCAAGCGCCGTCCCTGTAGGATGCGCACCCGCAGTCTCGGTCCCTTACCGCCCCGCCCCCCATCGTTCTGGTCCCCAAGACCATCTCTTCCTCGATCTCCAGAAAACTTACTTCTTGAGCATTTCTCGCTGACAGCTCCCTCCGCCCCTACAGACCGCCGCTCCTCCCCTAACGCCCGCGGGCTCTTCCAAGGACTGGCGAGGCCCACTTGTGCGTGCCGGGCTCCCTCCCTCTCTCCTGCCCCAGCTCTCTCCCCTTCTGCCCTCCCTCCGTGTTTTGGTCTTCCGTGGACACTGGAGGGTGATAACGTGTTCATGGCTGGCTGTGCTCACCCTCCTGGGCGGCAGGGCCTCCCCCAAGGGGCAACGCTGGGCCCTCCGTGCTGTGTCTGGCTGCGCTGTGGTGCCTTTGGGTGGAAGAAATGGCCTCAGAGGTAACATCCGAACCTCATCTTTGGAGGAGGGTTTTGCCTCATGAGCCGGATCACCGTGTTTTCGGCCGTCCTGTGCCGCCCCGCACACCCCTGCCTCGTGAGGTATTTGTGTCCGTACTGAGCACGTCCCTGGTGCCGAGCCTCCGGGACACCTCTTCCGGCCGCCCCAGCCCTTCCTCCGGGGCCCCGTGTCCTGCTGGTTTCTGAGCTGGTTTCATATTAAACACCTCTCTAAAAGTGGCTTATGCCTTTACTTCCCCGGGTTTCCCCCAGGGCCACCTGGCGCAGCAGCACGCTGCCACCCCCGGTAGATAGAGCGCAAGCAGCGTCCCTCGGTGCGGCACCCTCCCGCACCGCGCAGACCGGAGGTGGTTCAGAGGGGTGCCCGCGCATGCTCAGAGCCAGCTGCTGACGGGCCCGGATTTGTGTCTGGGGCTCCTGCTGCATTTGAAGAAACCCTTCACTTCTTTTGAGCTGTGGCCTCAGAGGGCCGCATCTTCATGCTCCATGTGCGACTTGTCCTCTGGCCGCACCAGCTGCTCGGGGTTGGAAGAAGAAGCCGAAACGAGGGTTTGGAAGGGAGGAGGGGTGGGAGCCCCGCCCGCCTTTGCCTTTCGCTGGGTGGCCGGGCGTGGGGCCCGTAGCGGCGGGTTCCCGCTGCGTGAGGGAGGAGTGCGGGCCTGAGGCCAGGCCATAGAGGTGCAGGGAGGGCTGTGGGAGGTTTGGGGAGTTCTCGTGACAGGGTGGAATTGTCCCGCTGGAAGGGGCCACGACGGCTCAGGTGGCTCGGTGGGAGCTGGAAGGAGCCAGCGAACCTAGCACGCCCGGGGCTGGGCAGAGGGCTAGGCAGCCCGGCTGCGGGTCAGTTGCTGGGCCACTCGTGTGCTGGTCATTTCCTGTCACTCATTTCGGCTGCAGCTCCCCGGCCCGTGCAGTTCCAAGGCTGCTTCCAGCAGCCCAGGCCGTGCTCTGTGACATTGCTCTTTGTCTCCCTCTGCTTTCCAGTTCCCACTCGGGATGCGTGTGAGGCAGCGCCTCAAGCCCCGGAGAGCGGCGCCCTGGCTCCGACAGCGCAGCCGGCTAGCCCGAGCCAGCTCCCGGGGCCCCGCCGCTCTGGTCTGTGCTTGAGGGGAGGAGCCGCCACCGTCCCGCAGAGAAGGCTGCCGGTCTCAACGGTCTCAACGGCGTGGAGAAGCGCAGGGGGCGGTGTGACTCGACAGAGGTCCAGGAGCCAGCGGCGTCGCCAGGAGTGGAAGACAAGGGACAGCTGAGGCGAGAGGTCACTGGACCAGAGAGGCACAGAGGCCTGCCCGCGCGGGCCCAGCCGCCCCCCTCCACATGGCCTCCAAGCCGGCGGCCGGGAGGGGCCCGGGGGCGAAGCGCAAGAGGGTGGTGCTGACGCTGAAGGAGAAGATGGACATCTGCGCGCGCCTGGAGAAGGGCGAGAGCCGGAAGGCGCTGATGCAGGAGTACAACGTGGGCATGTCCACGCTGTACGACATCAAGGCCCACAAGGCGCAGCTGCTGCGCTTCTTCGCCAGCTCCGCCTCCAACAAGGCGCTGGAGCGGCGACGCACCCTGCACACGCCCAAGCTCGAGCACCTGGACCGGGTGCTGTATGAGTGGTTCCTGGGCAGGCGCGCCGAGGGCGTGCCGGTGTCAGGCCCCATGCTCATCGAGAAGGCCAAGGACTTCTACGCACAGATGCAGCTCACCGAGCCCTGCGTGTTCTCCGGCGGCTGGCTGTGGCGCTTTAAGGCCAGACACGGCATTAAGAAGCTGGACGTGTCCGGCGAAAAGCAGGCAGCCGACCACCAGGCGGCCGAGCGGTTCTGTGGGTTCTTCCGCAGCCTGACCGCGGAGCACGGCCTGACGCCGGAGCAGGTGTACAACGCCGACGAGACCGGCCTCTCCTGGCAGTGCCGGCCGGGCCCCGAGGGCGGGCCGGCGCCCGGGGGCAGGCAGGGCAGGGACAGGCTGACCGTCCTCATGTGCGCCAACGCCACGGGCTCCCACAGGATCAAGCCCTTGGTGATCGGGAAGTGTGGCGGCCCCCGGGCTCCCAAGAGCACCCAGCACTTGCCCGTGGCCTACCGGGCTCACGGGCACGCGTGGGCAGACAGGGCGGTCTTCTCGGACTGGTTCCGCCACATCTTCGCCCCCTCGGTGAGGGAGCACTTCCGGGCCCTGGGCCTGCCCGAGGGCAGCAAAGCCGTCCTGCTGCTGGACGGCGCCCGCGCCCGCCCGCCGGAGCCCGAGCTGGTCTGCGGCAACATCCGCACCGTCTTCCTGCCCGCCGGCGCCGCCGCGCTGCTGCAGCCCATGGACCGGGGCATCCGCCGCGGCTTCCTGAGGCGCTTCCTCGGCCCCCCGGCCGCGCCGCAGGGCTCGCCCCCGCGCCACGGCGTGAATGACGCCCTCTGCAGCGTGGCCTGCGCCTGGGACGCCGTGCCCGGTGCCGTCTTCAGCCGGGCCTGGAGGAAGCTGTGGCCCGCGGCCGCGCTGGCCGAGGACTCGTCTTCCGAGGAGGAGCCCGAGCGCCTCGGGGCCAGGCCGCACGACCAGACCTTCGCTCACGTGCTGGAGCTCGGGAGGGAGGCCCGGTCCCGGCTCCACGGGAGCGTGGCCGCCGAGCAGGCGGGGCCGGGGCTGGGGCCGGGGGCCGGAGCGGGGTGCGCGGCCCAGGGCCAGCCGGAGCAGGCCCAGAAGGACGGCCAGGCCGCAGCCCCCAGGGAGGGTGAGGAGGCGGCCTGGGAGCAGGCGGCCGTGGCCTTCGACGCGGTGCTGCGCTTCGCAGAGGGGCAGCCCTGCTTCACGGCGCAGGAGCTGGGGCAGCTGCGTGTGCTGCGAGCCGTGTTCCTGCGGCAGCGGCAGGGGAGGCAGCGGCAGCATCCCGCCCTCGGGGCCGTGGTCAAGCTCGAAGGCCCCCAGGAGCGTGGCGGGGGCTGTGCCACTGTGGGCCCCGCCCCGTGCACCACGGGCGAGGACTGATGGCGCCCAGCGGGGTGGCCGAAGGGTGCCGGCTGGCGGGAGCTGCCCCGGGGACTGGGTGCTGAGACCTCGCGGCCCCCCGCATCCTGGTTAACCTGTCACCTGTCCTGTCGTGTGACTCGAGGAGACTCTTTGGAAGTGCCACCCGACCGAAATCATCCTAGAGCCCCCCGGCCGGAGCCGGGACTGGTGGGCAGAGGGTGGTCTGGCAGCTGCTGGCTGGACCTCGCCCCTGCCACTTGTGCAGATGTTTCTCCGCCCCAGCACTCCGGCCAGCTGATGGCAGCAGCCGCCGCCGCTTGACAGGCTGGCCATCTAAGGCCCCCCTTCCCCCCCCGCCATGGGGTTCCGGCTCCTGGTCTGGTGGCTGCGCCTGTGTTAGGTGGGCCCCAGGGGCCGGTCCCCAGGGGCGGGGACTCAGTGGGTGACCTCAGGCCAGCAGAGTCCCTGCTTGTGTTCGCACGGGCAGCCTGTCGCCAGCCTGGGCACGTGCCCCCCTTCCCGTGTGATCGCACTGGGGGGCATGAGACTCTCCTGAGGGTCCCTCCCTGTCCCGGCAGCCCCTCTGCCCTTGGGCTCGGACCAGGGCGACCAGGGTGTGGGCTGCACGCCGGCCTGCCTGCACTGCTTCACCTAAAGTGAGCGGGAGCGGGGCCTGGACTGCCGGTCGCCCGGCGGAGGACCCCGGGCCCTATGCTGTCCCCAGCATCTCGTGGCAGCTGGAGGGACCCGCCGCCGTCACCGTGTGCTGTCCATCCCTCCGGGAGGCCGTGGTTCTGAGAGAACCCAGGGAACACGAGCGTTTCACAGCTTTCCAGACGCGCGTGGCACGAGGCCGCGTGGCTGTGGCCGAGTGTCTTGCCCGCGTGCGTGTGTGAAGACGGGACAGGAGCTCGTGGTTTGAGTGTCCTCACTGCCCCCCCCCCCCCGCACCACTGTGTCATCTTGTGTCACTTGCAACTCGCGCCCCTGCCCCACCGAATCGCAGCCTGCGGGGTGGCGGGGGGTTAGAAGCGGAGTCTGGCTGGGCGGGTGGAGCTGGGGCAGGGCCGGCAGGCGGGGCCCCCCTCAGCCTGGACCCCAGGCCATGGGCGCGTGTCACGCCCGCACGAGCCGCTGCTGTCCTGGCCTGTGGTGGCCGATCAGTAAGTGCTGTCGGAGGGCCGGCTGAGCGGTGCCTGTCCCTGGGGCTGCTTCCAGGGCCGACCACCGCTGCCGCCACTGCTGCTGCCGCTGGGGTGCTTCAGGGCCAAGGGCTCGCCAGGCGGAGGGAGGTTCTCGGGGTGCAGGCGCCGGCGGGCCCTGCAAGGCGTCCTACAGGGCACTGGCTCTGGGGAGCACGGCTGTCCACTGGCCTCCCTGGGCTTCCTGGGGAGAGTGCCACACCGCTGAGTGTCCACCCCCCCCACCCCGCTGCTCTGCCCACTGCTGCCCCGTGTCTCGGGGGCTTAGGGGTGTTGCAGCCTCAGACTCTTTTCCCAAACAGTCTTCGGTGGGCCCACTGGACCAGACGCGACACCGAGAAGCGTGGGCCTGAGCCTCTTGGTCACCCTGCCAGCCACATGGCGGCTGGAGTCCTGGAGGGGGCGCTGGCCGGGCAGCAGAGGCCGCTTGCGCCCCAAGGAAGAGAGCTCCGTCAGGCACCCTCCCGGGTCTGGGGTGTCTGGGCTGGGACTGGCCAGCACGGGGGTGGGGGTGCCCCCCCCCACAGCCTCACAGCAGCCTGGCATGAGCGTGGACGGAGGTTAGCAGACGGGCCGCAGCATCTGGTGCGGCGAGTGGGCGCCGCCCCGGGGGCTTCTGGAGGAGGGGGCCCTTCCTGACTGTTCCCACCGCCCCTCCCTCCCTCCCTCCCCCCTCTCTGGCTCCCAGTCCCCGAGTCCCAGCCTGAGCCTGTGGGGGGACCACACCGGGCCCCCCGCCAGGCTGCGCCCCATCCTCCCCTCCGAGCCAGTCCCTGCCTGTGGTGGGGCGACGGGTTGCAGCAACAGCCAGCCTGTCGCCCGCACTCTGATGAGGACACCGAGAATCTCCCGCCTGTGGCTCTCGAACAGGCCACTGGCTCTCACTGCACCTCATCGTTTAACCAGACAGCCACTTGCTCGCTCTCTCCCTGGGCGCTGCCCACGGAGGTGGCAGCCACCTCCTACTCGGCCCCACGGCAGCCCCCAGACCCCGCGTGACACCCAAGGTTGCCAAAAAGAGGACCAAGAAGTCCATTCGGCACCAGTCAGGCCGTTACATCAAAGTCAGGCGGAACCGGCGGAGACCCAGCGGCCCTGACAGTAGGGAGCGCAGGAGGTCCACGGGCCAGGTCTCGATGCCCAGCGTCGGTGACGGGGGCAACACGGACACAAAGCACCTGCTGCCCGGTGGCTTCGGGAGTTCCCGGTCCCCAGCGTCAAGGAGCTTGAAGTGCTGCCTGTGTGCGACAACCCTACTGTGCGCAACTGCTCACGACGCCCCGCGAAGAGCCAGCCGCAAAGCCGAGGTGGACGGAGCAGCCCAGCTGCCGTCAGAGTCCCCAGTCCCCATGCCGCCAGGCTGCGCAGTGAGGAAGACGGATAGACAGATCGTGTGCACACTGTCTCTGTGTTAATAAAACCTTAAAGTTCTGAAAAAATAAAAGGGCCACTTAGAACAGCGGGGTGGGGTGGGGGTGGGGCGGGTCGTGGAGGGCGGGGCGGGGCTGGGAGGCCTGGGCCCCCCCCCTGCGGTGGAGACCTGCTGGGCCCCGCCCCCGCTGCCGGCCCTGGGCGGGGCCTCGCTGCTCAGCCCATCCCCCCGGGGACCGGCCTGAGCTCACTTTGCCCCTGAGAAGGAAGAGACCCCTGCACCCCTGCTTCACCCTGGGAGCCCCATAGCATAGCTCCCAGGTGTCCTGTCCGTCTGTGGGGCCCACGCACCCAGGGTCTCGCCACCAGGGGGAGCTGGCCGAGCAGGGGGGCTGTGGACCCCGATCTCCAAGGACAGAAACTCGAAATAGACACCGCGCCCCGTCCCGCAGCTGAACCACCGAGTCGGCCGTCTGGAGGCGGAACCTAGAGAGTTCGCGGACTCGCCTCCAACCTGCGCCTGCCGGGCGTCGTCCCTGCGGCCCGAGTTCGCCGCTCCGGGGCAGCGCGGAGGACAGGGCTGCCTGCAGGCGCTGAGCCGGGGTTCCGCGCCGGGGCTGGGGACAGGTGTGTGGTTGTGGTGGGGGGCCTGTGGCCCTGCCCAAGGCCGATCGGGGCCTCGCTGCAGGGCTGGGGGTGGGGCGCTGGCTCAGAGCCCTGTCTGGAGTGAAGACAAGGTTCTGGAATCCGACGGGGGTGACGATGACACTATGCGTGTCGTCAGTGCCACTGAGCTGTCCACACGAGGTGGGGGACGTAGTGAGTTTTATGTTATGGGTGACTTACTACACACACACAAAAATCATGAGACCCCAGGGCTGGGCAATTGGGACACGGGGACAGGGCTGAGGACAGCAGAGCCTCAGAGGACAGTGGGGCCCCCTGGAGACCAGCTCCAGCAGAAGGGGCAATGTCACCCTGGCCTGTGGGCACCCACCTCCCCACTCCCCTCCCGCGGCCCCCGCAGACCCAGCTGCCTGGGGAATGCCAGGAGGGCCAGGAGGGCGAGGAGGAGGCGAGGGCTCAGCTCCGCCATTGGCCAGGTTTTCCTGGGCGCCTGCTGGGGGCCAGGCATCGCCGGACCCCCTGCCCAGCCCATGGCGCACTCAGGCTGGCCAGACCCCGATGCAGCCGGCCCTGTTCTCTTGCGGGGAGCCTGGCGTGCAGCCCCCAGGCTGCGGGAGAGCCCCCGGGCTGGGTCCCCCTCAGACCCCACCACCCTCCCTGTCCCTTTCACCACATGCATTGAGGTCCCCTCCTCAGGCGCCCCCCCCCAGCCACCCCACCGTGGAGGCCCCGGGCCGTCTGCACCCCAGGCCAGCGGCTTGTTGACTCCGGTGTGCCCACGGCCACCTGCTGGTGACGGGTGTCCTGTGTCACTGAGTGCTGCAGGCACCGAGGGCCTCCTGGGCCCCCCTCGCGGCCCCAGGCCCACCTGCCGGCATCAGCCCAGGCGGTGGAGGGTCTTGTTCACCCTCGATTTGAAAAATCAAGTGGTTAACACATACAGGTTAAAACACACACACACACACACACACACACACACACAAGGGTAAAAGGACGGTTTTTAGTCACTTGGGAAAACGGGACCCGGGTGGGCCTTCGTGAGGATGATGCTGGAGTGAGGAGGGTGGGTGGTCCCGTCTCCCAAGGCCTCTGTCTCACAGACGGGCTGCCCAGGCTGTCCGGGCGCAGGTGCCTGTGCGGGGCTGGCGCTGCCGGGAACAGCGGGGGGGGGGGCCCTCCTTCCGTCCCCTCCCCTCGCGTGTCCCGAGTTCCCACCGAGAGGCACTTGTCCCGGAGCCTGGAGGAGGGCCCGCCCCCGCCCGCCCGCCCACCTGCCCCGGCTGCCGCTGGGCAGGTGCGTCAGGGCCGGGTGCCAGCCGTGACGTGCTCCTCGCGGAGACACAAAGGCCTCTTTCCGCTGCAGAGGAGGCTCCGCAGGTAGCAGGGAGGTGAGTCAGAGGCCCCCAGCGAGTGGTGAGCCGTGAGTGGCAGTAATGAGTAGTGTGGCTGCGGCCGCCTGGCAGTCACTTCTGTCACTCTGGGCAGCCCGAGCTGAGGGAGGGAGGGAGGGCAGGGGGCGGAGGACGGGGGGGAGGGAGGGGAGAGCTGGACCCGCCCCCACCCCGGCACAGGTCCCTGAGCCTCCCTGAGCCACGCTGCTGCTGCGGGGTCTGTGCCCCGCAGGCCCTGGGGCCCGTGACTGTGTGAATGGCATGGGGGGCAGGGCCCTCAGACCAGAGCCGGATCCTCTCTGATTAGCAGGAGCCCCGGGGCCTGGGGAAGCTCACAGGCGGAGGGTGCCAGCCCAGGGGCCGCCGTCCACCTCCCTGGAGGGGGTCCAGCCGGGGGTGGGTGCAGTGACTTCAGTGCCTCGGCTCAGGCCGGCCGTCCTGGGTCCCCCAGACAGACGCCGCTGGCACAAGGCGGTCAGAGCAGCTGGGGTGGGGGGCCGGCGGCTGCTACACCTGGACAGAGGCGGGGACCCACGACCCCACACCGCCTGGGGGAGGGGGCCGTGGTGGCCACTTCCAGGTTCTCTGGGAGGCTCCGCCGAGGGCCTCCGCCCCCGGGCAGCCAGGCGGGGACCGCTTGGAGGACGGAGGAGAGGACCTGGCAGGATGGGCGGCCAGCGAGCCCAGGGGAAGGGGCATCTCCTGGAGCTGGAGGGTGTCCGGGCTCTGGGGACCTGGAGCCGCCCTGGGCGGGCAGGAGGTGGTGGGAGTGGCTCGGGGGTGGGGGCGGTCCACAGTGCCCCCAACTGTCCCCCAGTGGCCCCTGCCCTTGGGCCAGCCCGCCCGTTCCCCACAGGGGCCCCAGCCCGGGCCGGTGCACCCACACCTGGTGATATAGTCTCTGTCACGGCAGCCGCTTTTCAAGCACCCGCACGCCGGGCCCGTGGCGTCAGCCCCCGCCACCACCTCTCGGGCCGGCGCCATTGTCGTCGCGGCCACTCCACGGCCGCGGGGGCACCACGTTGAGAGGGTAGAGGGCGGGACGCTGGGGCACAAAACAGACCCTTCAGCAAGTGCCTCCGGTTTCATCGGACCCCCGCCCCTGCCTTCCCAGGGACAGAAGCTTCCCTTCCAGCGACAAAAGGCTCCTACCCGGTGACATGCCCCACCCCCGCCGTCCCCCACCGCCCAGCCCTGGGGTCTGGGAGCGGCTTGCCGGCTGCCATGGTGTCTGAGGGTTCCAGTGACGTGGAATCTTCTAGAGACTTGAGGACAGGGGGTTGTCCCGCCCACTGGGTCAGCCGGGCTCTCACCCACGGGGTCCGCACCCGTCGGAGCTCCCCTGAGGGGCTGACCGAGGGGACAGGGGCCACCTGGGTGGACTCTGCCCCCCGAGGGCCAGGTGGCCGGTGGGACGCCTTCAGAGCTGCCAGGTCTTCTGGGGTCAGGCGGGCGGGGCCGCAGTCACAGCTGGCTCGGGGGGGCACTTGGGATTCAGGCCTCATGTCAGTGCCTCCTGCTGGGGGGCACCCCTGTCCAGGGCCCGCCTCCTGCGCCCCCAGCTCCCGGCCGCTCCCCAGCGGAGACACCGGGCTCCGGACACGGCCTTTCCTTTGCGTTTAGAATGGGGCTGCGTCTGCGGGGCCCGGGGGTGTGGCCTCCGCCAGTGGCGGGCGGGCCGTGGACCGAGGCCCGTCCGCACTCGGCTCCCTGGCCGGCGCTGAGGCGTCGTCCAGGGGGTGGACCGCTCTCCAAGCAGCTGCCGCCGCCACTGCACATCATTCGGGGGATGCACGTGCTCTGGCGACGCGTCCACCTCGGCCACCTGGGGGTGCCCCCACAGGTCCTGGGCGGGCGGGCGGCAGCCCAACTGTCCCCAGCCCGCCGCCTCCCAGGGCAGGTCTTGGTCTCCTGGCCTCGCCCCTGAGGCCCCCGGACCCATGGGCCCCGCCCCGACCCTGTCAAGGGGCATCTCCTGTCTGAGGGGGCCAAGACCCCGAGACCCACACGGGGGGCCCTGGGCACAGCCCGAGGGTTCCGAGGTGGCTGAGGGGCGCACGGTCAGTGCGGGTCCTGGGTGGGGGCACCCCGGTGCCCTCCCCCCCCCCCCAGGGGCACAGGGACCGGGTGTGAGGGCCGCAGGGCTTCAGTCCAGGAGGCTGTGGGGAGGAAGGGGGAGGGGCGTCCAAGCAGGGGGCCAGCCCTTACTGGAGTGGGTCCGGGGGTCCCGTTCCTCAGCTCAGACGGGGTGTGTGTGTGTGGGAGTGGGCGGCCCACAGGGCCCCGCACCCTCGCCCTGACCCTACCCCTGCCACACCCCAGCACGGCCCGGCCTCCCTGGCCTCCCGGGGGCGGTGGGGACGGCAGCACCAGCGAGCACCGTCTGGGGCTGGGTGGGCAGAGGGGCCAGCCCTGAGGGCATCAGGCCACGAAGCAGAGATTGGGCAGGGCAGAGACGAGGCCAGGGGTCGCTGCCATCCCCAGCTCCTCTGGAGGGGCGCCTGCCCCAGACGAGGGTCTCGGGCTGAGAACGACGCAGCAGGGACGCGGTCTGGGGACGACCGTGCCGCTGACGTGTCCTGCACAGCCTGCCCTGGGGTGGCCAGCGACCCCGGGCCCCCGGCTGCTGACGCAGCCGAGACTCCGGGTCTGGAGCAGCCGGGACCGATGTCAGCAGCGGCTGCGGGCAGTGGGGCCAGGACTGGCCCTGGGGCCAGGGGTCGGGATGCAAACCGAGGGATGCAGCTGCCCCCTCACTGGCCAGTGCCCCGAGACGTGCCGCTGGCCTGGGGACAGAGGCTCCGCTGTCCGGCTGCGGACACCTGCGCTGAGACCCAGGCGACCAGGGGGCTGTGGCGGGGCGGCGGGGCCCCGAGGGCCAAGGGTCATGGGGTCTTACTCCCGGGGCCGGAGAGGCCACAGCAGACAGGCAGGTGTCCTTGGCCCTGAACCAGGGGCTGGGCGGGACGTCACCGGCCTGGGGGGCTGCTGGACAGGGTGTCCTGGCCAGCGGTCATGGGACACGCAGGCCAGGAGCCCAGGAGAGAGCC